TGGCCCTTAGTGATTAGTAGTAATATCTGAGTACAGGAACTTATTCAATGGTCAAGAATCATGTTACCTTGCAGAGCTGGAGAAATCTCCCCATAGGTCAGAGCTGGGGTTTGACTGAACCACTGTATTAGAGTTACTGCTGTCCAGTTCTAATAAACATCCTAAGAGTAGGGAAAGAACACAAAAAAATAAAAGAGAGAAAAACGTTATCAAGATATCTGTAAAATGTATTTGTGTGTTTGTCTGCATGTGCATGCATTTAGAGTGGGTGAGATATTCATAAAAATGAATTGTCAGGCTCAGAATTGATATTTTACACTTACAGAATTAATATATGGTTACAACACTTATGATTATGTAAATCGAAAGAGTTTTGTCTTTGCATTTGTCCTCTAAATAAGGTTGGTTTTTTTGTAAGAAATATTCTACTATTACGTGTGCGAGCTCCTCTCCTTGTTGAACTCAGAATTAATATATTACATATACACTCACCGGCCACTTTATTAGGTACCCCATGCTAGTAACGGGTTGGACCCCCTTTTGCCTTCAGAACTGCCTCAATTCTTCGTGGCATAGATTCAACAAGGTGCTGGAAGCATTCCTCAGGGAGTTTGGTCCATATTGACATGATGGCATCACACAGTTGCCGCAGATTTGTCGGCTGCACATCCATGATGCGAATCTCCCGTTCCACCACATCCCAAAGATGCTCTATTGGGTTGAGATCTGGTGACTGTGGAGGCCATTTTAGTACAGTGAACTCATTGTCATGTTCAAGAAACCAATTTGAAATGATTAGAGCTTTGTGACATGGTGGAAGTAGCCATCAGAGGATGGGTACATGGTGGCCATAAAGGGATGGACATGGTCAGAAACAATGCTCAGGTAGGCCGTGGCATTTAAACGATGCCCAATTGGCACTAAGGGGCCTAAAGTGTGCCAGGAAAACATCCCCCACACCATTACACCACCACCACCAGCCTGCACAGTGGTAACAAGGCATGATGGTTCCATGTTCTCATTCTGTTTACGCCAAATTCTGACTCTAACATCTGAATGTCTCAACAGAAATCGAGACTCATCAGACCAGGCAACATTTTTCCAGTCTTCAACTGTTCAATTTTGGTGAGCTCTTGCAAATTGTAGCCTCTTTTTCCTATTTGTAGTGGAGATGAGTGGTACCCGGTGGAGTCTTCTGCTGTTGTAGCCCATCCGCCTCAAGGTTGTGCGTGTTGTGGCTTCACAAATGCTTTGCTGCATACCTCGGTTGTAACGAGTGGTTATTTCAGTCACTGTTGCCCTTCTATCAGCTCGAACCAGTCTGGCCATTCTCCTCTGACCTCTGGCATCAACAAGGCATTTCCGCCCACAGAACTGCCGCTCACTGGATGTTTTTGCTTTTTCGGACCATTCTCTGTATACCCTAGAGATGGTTGTGCGTGAAAATCCCAGTAGATTAGCAGTTTCTGAAATACTCAGACCAGCCCTTCTGGCACCAACAATCATGCCACGTTCAAAGTCACTCAAATCACCTTTCTTCCCCATACTGATGCTCGGTTTGAACTGCAGGAGATTGTCTTGACCATGTCTACATGCCTAAATGCACTGAGTTGCCACCATGTGATTGGCTGCTTAGAAATTAAGTGTTAACGAGCAGTTGGACAGGTGTACCTAATAAAGTGGCCGGTGAGTGTATATATACCTTATCCATGGCATCAAAGAAAAGAGGATGCATAAATTAGTTCATATATAGGTAGTAATGAGGTCAAATGTACCTGTCTGTGCTCCTCCTGATGGCTGTTCTGTGTTGTGATTGGACGAAGGAGGAGGTGCTATCTTTCCCCCTGGAGGTGGAGGGAGGAGCCCAAAGCCTCCTGAGCTCTGAGGGCGGGGTTTGTCCCTCTTTTTACCTTGCTAAATACAAACAATAATTTCTCTAATTTAACACAAACTGTATATTTACAATATGTGGACATGGAAAATCACTGTATATTCTTCTGGACATGTAGTGATGCAACACTAGAACTATTAAAGCCAAAATCTGACAAAAATAAATAAAAATCCCATTACAAAAGAAGATGTATTTTACTTCTGTTTTACCCCGATATTCAGTGTGATGGTCTGTCCCTCTTTGAAGCCTAGATCCAGTTTGGGTCCTAAATCTGCAGACTGAGAACTTTTGCTAAGTTCATCCTCCTGTTTAACCCACCTTAAAGAAAGAAAAACGAAGAACAATTTTTATATTTTAAAAAGAAATTCAAAAACGGTATCTGCTAAAATTGCTTATTATGCCCAAAGGGATTTAACTAAAAGCATCAAATGGCCTCCAATGTGTCAGTGCAAATACAAAAGCATTTCCAGTATTAATGTCTTTTAATAGAAACTCACTTGAAATGATCCTGCAAGGCGACATTGAAGTCAAAAGAATCACCTCTGTCTCCGAATCCAACGCCAATGAACGCACTCCGACCTAAAATGCAGGCAGCATGGATACTACTCATCTAAACTGTAGTATAGAAGTAAACTATAACCTATTTACCAGTACGATAAGGTATGTAAAGTAAGATGATACACTCACCATTGTCATCCTGTATACGGAGAACAAAATAGCGACTAGAATCGCTGACGGTCTCCAAGGCTATGCCAGGGTATTCCGTAATCGGTGCTTGAGCAAACAGCTCACCTGAAGACAATGATGAAAGAAGGACATCTAGGAGCTTCTTTTGCTGAACAAATGTCATCCAATCAAACATTCAATTTCGATTTTTTTTCTTTTGCATCAGTACGCAGATTTCTAACCTGAGACTTTGTCCTCCAGTTTGATATAAGCCACCTTCCCCTTTGCTGTTATGCGCAAACGACCTGTCCAATCAGGAGTGTCCAGCTTCCAGTCAGCCGCCCTGCCATTATAACAGCAGATATGTCATTTCAGGTCCATAAATTGTATATTACTCATACTCTAGATGGGTTTTCTATGGAAACATCTTTAAGGGGAGTTTAAAGGGATAGTTAAGTTCACCCAAAAATGAAAATTGGCATCATTTACTCATCCCCATGTCATTTCAAACCCTATAAGACTTTGCATGCATCACACGCTGGAACAAACCTCATTGGTTCTCGCGCACCACCCACGCATGTTTGAGCTTCCATGTTTACCATGTGTGATGTGCTCTATGTATACGTGTAAATCATTGTTAAATTGACAAATTCGATTTGTTTTACGATTCCTTTATGCCTTTTTTGGATCTTTTAAGTTTGGTTACCTGAAGAGGGACATAGAGGGGCAGAAACCTCTCAGGTTTCATTATAAATATCTTAAATTGTGTTTCAAAGTTTAAGTCTTATCGGTTTGGAACGACATGAAGATGAGTAAATGATAGAATTTTAATTTTTGTACAATTTTAGTTGTTGTAATCTAACATACAGATACATTACAGTAATGAGTACTAGGGAAAAAGCGATTGATTTTCACAAAAATAATGTCACAATGCGAAGTCAGTATGAAATTAATATTCTCCCTACCTGTTTTTTAAATGCATGATATTGATCTTATTATTTCAATAATCCTTTATACTCAGATGTACGTCACAATATGGAAGAAATGATCTGTCGTTACTTCAATTTCATGAGACTTTAATGGTCCCAAAATAGGCTTAATTTGTATTCTTTTTTCTGGGTCCAAACATGACAGGCTTCATGCGATTGATTCACAAAAATAGCAGCTCATTGGGTTCAAGCTTTTAGTTTAGTGGGAACAGAAGACAGTTAACCCATTTCCACAGTTTATGGCAAATCAAGAAGGATTATTGCAATTTCCAGAACTATTACAAAAAGACTATAGGCTCCTACAGAGGGAATACAACTGGTATTTTAGAGGAATGTGTGTCACTGAAGCATCACATTATCTGTGGGCAAGAGCTATTAGGACTAATTATATACTATAAACTGGACCACATATACGCAGAAAACACACCTCACATTAACGCAATACAATACCATATTATTACAACCATAATAATAATACAAATGACAGATGCTCTATCTACGTCTTTGGCATGGAAATTTCCTGTAAATAATTCTTAATTGTAATAACATTTTCAGTTGTTTACTCTTGACCAATTCCTATTAAGATGCATGAGCTAGTCGTGAAACAGACCATCTGACATCACAAGATGTTTTCCCTCTATCAGCAGAACTGTATGATCAATGTTTCTGCGACATAGCAGTCCACAGAATAATAATTAAATGCGATACATGTATTGTTTATTATAAAATCTTGTTCGTAATAGAAGTATGGTGCTGATACAGACAAGACAAAAACGTATTGCGTATTACAACATCATTTACATTACAAACACCTGCCATGGGCGCAGGCCCGCACATCCTTTAATTCACCTGTATCCGCGATTCGACGCCCTCGGCGGTATGCGGTAAACACTGACATCTGGTTTTACGCACAGAATTGACTCGTATTCCCCCTCGGACGCCATCTTGAACTGATTTCAATGAATGCGAGTAATATTTCTGTCTTCATCCAATTTGTTATTGCGGGCCAGCCGCTTCTACAGGCATCGGAGCGTCAGTGACGTCAATGATGCCTTAGGCACGAGCTTGAGAATGACGCATCACGCTTCATCAGATCTGAGAATGGATGGATCGACTCATTGGTATGGAAACCCATAGACAGTGTGGAAACCGGGCTCAGTGCAACCGCAAACATGGTGTTGGGATTAGCGTTTTTTTCATCGCCTGTTCGCATCCCTTTGGTATTCCAAACCAAGTGGCACATTTAACAAACCCTTTTAATTCATTATTCATATGTTATTTTGTTTATTGTCTTTTTTATCAAAGGGCTTTCATGCAGCAACAACAACAACAAAAATCCTGTGTTTGTTTACCCTTGTGGTTTCAGTGTAAACCACATAGCCACGCCCCCTCATCAATAATCACTACTAGCGTGCTTTCACGCAATGCAAACCGCCACCCCCACCTCATGAATATTCAGTAGGGAGGCTACGTTCGTTTTTTGACAGGTAGCCGTAAACGGAAGCGGAAATTTCCGCTTCTGGAAAAGCCTCTCATCATCATCTCTCCTGTCCATTCTCCCAAAAGGTTGGTATATTACAATATAAATAATATACTTATTGTATCCATCATCAAGCAATCAGAAATTTTGTCGCTGAGCTGACGTAAGAAGCGATGCTATATGTAAATCTTTAGCTAAGACGCAGTGTATGCTCATGCATTAGTATCCTCCTGTTTTTAAGGCGATGGCTCTCCATTCACCAAACCAATATCAATATCTTTTGCAGGCGTCAGATTACAGTCAGGCCACGATCAGACATGATGCGACAGTCTCGCAGTTTATTAACAGCGATCTAGTTCATTATGTCATGTCATAGTGATTGTCATCAAATGATGCTCTCATGTACATTACCTTAGAGGTGTTTGGTGTCTGCAGCCAGCATTGGTAGTAGGATGTCTATGATAAATAAATCAGCGATCATTTGGATCACATCATTTGGGAAATATTATCAGTACAGATTGGATTTGCTGTTGAAAATAGCATGAAATCAAGCATTATATTGATAGCAGGATAATGCAGTTTGAAAGGATATTGGCTGTTGATGTTACTCTTATAAATAAATAAATAGTCTATAGCTATTATGAAAATATGCTCTTCTATATACCAGAGAGTAGCATATAAATAAAAGAATAATCTTTATTTTTCTACTAACTTTGACAGAATGTTAATTTCTGGTCGAAATATTTCATCGAAACACCATAGTTACAGAGTCTATCCTCATATTTATGCTGTATAGGTCCATAAAGTCTCCATAGGGAAAGGCTCATGGACTGAAGTGCCTGTCAGCGATTGAGAAATTCAGTCAACAGCCATTTTTACATCCTTTACTTAGCAGGTAAGTGGAGCAGAATAATTCAATGATGTAGGCTATATCCTTTAAATTTTATTTGTAGGTGTGATATTGTTAATAAACTATTCATAATAGCAGATGTATATCATATCCTCTGATTAGGGTTAATTGAATGAATGCAGTAACTAAAACCATACAAAATTGTGAACTTTAAATGAAATAAAAAGCTAATAAATAATATTTTTTATTTAATAAAATAGAAACAACTTAAACATATTTTGTTTCAGCTAATTGCCAAGGCAGCATTTCTCATTTTCATTTAGTTTAACTTTAGTTAACAACTAAAAATAAAATAAAAATGAATAACTATATATACTGTATATTAAAAAATAGAAAAAAATAAAATAAAAAACAACAAAATTACTAAAAAATTGAAAATGAAAACAGAAAATATTAAAATAAAAACCAATTCAAAATATAAATAAAAACTGTAATATTATCTCAATAAAACTAAAATAACACTGGCTCTGATATAACTTCTATTATAAATAGACTAACACAACTAATAGTGCCTGATGCTGTATTATGAAGGCTCTGTTTCCTAATTATCAAAGTTATCAAACAATGATTATAATATATATAAGAAGCCGTTTTTGATCCACGTGCTGTATTTGCAATGATTAACAATGATGAGCCTACTTGCATTTTTGTGGAACAATGTGTATATTACAATAAAAAAAATCTTAATTCCTTAAATAGGTCTAGGACAAAACCGCCATCATGACTCACTCAATGCTGCGACGCCAACTGAAGAACCTTGTTCAGAACTTCTCTGAGGCAGAGGTCAAGGTGAGTTTTTCCTCTTACTCTTTTGTCAACCCCATTCAAGTCTTCAAGGTGAGACTTTTGTCTGTATCAACTATAATTCAAGTCACCTTTATTTATATAACGCTTTATACGATAAGATTATTTCAAAGCAGCTTTACAGTGGTAACAGGAAAATGATTCAATGATGCAAAGAGTTCATTTCGGCTGTACAGCAGCTCTAAAAGAAAATAGTGTCATTGTTCAGCTGATGTCAGTTCAGTGTTGATTCAGTTCCGTTGTAAATATAATCAATTATTTAATTAGTTCATTTCATCTTTAAAGCAGTTCTGCATAAAACAGTGATGTCATCGTCCAGCTCAGTTCAGTTTTTATCCGATAGTGTCAGTGAAATCAAATCAATAATATTGTTGAATATTGAGTATCCCTAACTATGCAAGCCAGAGACGACAGTGGCAAGGAACCAAAACTCCATCAGGTGACAGAATGGAGAAAAAAATCCTTGGGAAAACCAGGCTCAATTGGGGTGCCAGTTCTCTGGCTAATGAAAGAACACGATCTGATTATGATTCATGCTGAAATCAGATTGCGGATTGATAGCATTCAAATATTCATCCAGTTCCTTTTGCTTGAAGATTGGATTCATCACGTCGGTGTGGAGCTGAAGCTGGCCGTAGGGTCTGTGCGGACGACCTGTCTGGTTCTTGTGGTCTCTGCTGTGCTGACGATTTGTGCCAATGGCTGTCATGTCGACCATGCCTTCACAGAGGATTGTCTAGTTGACAGGATCTTTGCTGATGTTCAGGGCTACATTGTGGTTGTGTCTAGGTGTAGGTCCACCATCTGATCTGGATATGGACCCGATCCGGCTGACTACGGTAACCTCGGAATAAACAGAGAGACTAATATTAGCGTAGATGCCATTCTTGTTACGATGTAACAAGTACATCGGGTGTTATAGGAAGTGTTCCCGGTTCCGGTTGACCTCATTTATGCAACCTAACAATTCTTTAACGGATGTAAATTATAAAAATGTGATGTGTTATGTATATGCCAGGTTAAAGAGATGTTTTTAGTCAATATATTAAACTGACAGAGTATGTCTGCTTCCCGGTCAAGGTTAGGAAGACGGTTCCAGAGTTTAGGTGCTAAATAGAAAAAGGATCTACCGCCTGCAGTTGATTTTGATATTTTTTGTATATTATCAACTGGCCAGAATTTTTAGATCGCAATAGACGTGAAGGACTATAATGTGTTAAGAGCTAAGCCATTTAGTACTTTGTAGGTAATTAGCAAGATTTTAAACTGTATGCGATGTTTAATAGGGAGCCTATGCAGTGTTGACAGAACCGGGCTAATATGGTCATACTTCCTGGTTCTAGTAAGGACTCTAGCTGTTGCGTTTTGGACCAGCTGTAGTTTGTTTATTAAGCGTGCAGGGCAACCACCCATGAGAGCATTACAATAATCTAGCCTTGAGGTCATGAACGCATGAACTAACTTTTCTGCATGTGTCGTAATTCAGATAATTTTTTAAGATGGGAAAATGCAGTTTTACAGATGATAGAAATGTGGCTTTCAAATGAAAGACACCTACAGTATAACTTCATTTTAAGGTCATTGCATTGTGGGATACAATTTTTATACTATACATGTTTCTATACTGAAATCTTTTATTCTTAGATATCTGCCATCCATATATTCAATTCATATTCTATTAGAATAAGCTATTCTTCTGAGTGTATCTTTTGTACCCAGTGTAGATTAATTTACTTTGTTGAGACAGGAAACTCTGAGTTATTGGTTAGTGTTTTATATTTTATACGTTGGATATGTTTTGTAGGTTCGGGAAGCGACCTCTAATGACCCCTGGGGGCCATCGAGCTCCCAGATGGCCGACATCTCTGACCTGACCTACAATGTGGTGGCCTGTAACGAGATTTTGGCCATGCTCTGGAAACGCCTCAATGATGACAAGAATTGGAGGCACGTGTACAAGGTGAGTGAAGGAGAGAACTGAAGAGAACAGTCACCGGGTTTAAGGAACCGGATTCTGAGCTTGCTTGCCTGCTCAGACTGATTGAATATTTATAGCAAGTGATCGTTTTTGTGACTCTATCGTGCACCCGATCATGTTACCCGATTGGTGGCTGTTTTTTTTCTGTCAGCAGGGCATTGATGCTGCCGCTGCAGTGTTTGATTATGTGCAGGCAGGATTTTCCATTCAACTTCACTGCCATAATGTTTCTTCCTCTGATGTTTACTTACAGCTTTTGTTTTGTTATTGAGAAAGTGAGAGACAAAGAGAGATACAGAAAGAGAGATTGAGTTACACTATATTTAGTGGTGCTAGTTAAGCATCATATAGAATTACATTTTAAAGGGGCCCAAAACCCATAACACCCTTTATTTTTTATTTATATATTGTATTAGTAATAATAATAATAGAACACCATTTTTTGAAGAAAGTTCCAAGTTTATTTATAAAGCACATTTAAAAACAACAAATGTTATACCAAAGTGCTGTACAATCAAGAAGAAATACAGTAAAAACTGAATTAAAAAAATAGGCAAAGTGTTTTAAAAAAAAATCTCATAAAACATGCAAATAAAACCCCTTGCAAATGAAAACATCTCAAACCACGTCATAGGGTAAGGAGAAACATGCGTCTACTCTTCAACCTAGATCTAAATATTGCCAGTATGGAAGATGATCTAACAAAAAACAATTGTGCATTCCTAAACCTGGGGGCCACAACTACAAACGCCTGATCACCCTTGGATTTCAAGCAGGATGAGGAACAGAAAAAAGTAACTGATTTGAACGAAGAAACCTAGGTACAGAATAAAGTTTAAGAAGATCAGCAATGAATTGTGGGGCTAGCCCATGCAAGGCTTTAATAGCATACAGCAGAACCTTAAATTTGATCTCTATAACTAACTGGTAACCAATGTAGGGAAGGGAGAACAGGGGTGATATGCTCTATATTCCTTGTATGCTTAATTGCAGACATGAAAAAGTAGACTGAGACAAACCCACATATGAGCATTGCAGTAATCCAACTGGGATGTGATAAGTGCATGAATTACTATTTCCAAGTCCTTCTGACAGACGAACTGTTTTAATTTGGCAATGGACCTGAGATGTAAAAAGCTTCCTTTAATAACAGCATTTATCTACTTATCAAATAAAATGTCAGAATCTTAGATGACACCCAAGTTTTTAACTCTATCATGCAAGGTTAAACAAACAGAGTACCTAACTGATTTTCAAGGTCAGTGATACACAACAAAGAACCAAAACCAATGGCCTCAGTTTTATTCTCATTAAGCTTAAGGAAATTGTCAGAAATCCATAATTTAACTTCCTTAAAACAAGAGATGAGATTACTGATGGAACAACAATCATTTGACCTGACAGGAAGGTGAAGTTGTGTATCATCTGCATAACAATGATAAGCTACACTGTACTTTTGAAAGCTAGAGCCTAGATAGAGAGAACAAAAAAAGCAGAGGACCCAAAATAGAGCCTTGTGGGATGCCACATGTAATCGGTGTTGACGATGAGTGATTATCAATATTAAAAGAAAAAGTTCTTTCATTAAGATATGGGGCAAACCAACGTAAAGCAACCCTCTGGATATCATTCAGTGAGGATGCCTTAAATTGATCAAAATTTAAAGAGTTTCACATTCTTACAAAAAATTTATATTCCAGATAAATGCGGTTCTTTTAAACTTCAGATTAATCAAATAGTCCTGGAAATAAATGCATCACAGTTGCCACAAAAATATTTAACAGTTTTCAAATGATTCTTAAACAGAAAATCAGCATATTAGAATGATTTCTGAATGATCATGTGACCCTGAAGATTGGAGTAACGTCTAAAATTCAGCTTTGACATCATAGGAATAATTAAAAATTTTAAATATATACAAATAAAAAAAAAAGTTATTTTAAAATGTAGTTTCACAATATATTTTACTGTATTTTTTATCAAATAAATGCATTCTTGGTGAGCTTAATTGACTTCTCTCTAAAACATTAAAAAACTTACGGACCACAAATTTATATGTACAAGGAAAGGATTGACAAAACATCTAACAGATCATGTTTTTCTCTTTTTTCTTCAACAGTCTTTAACCCTTCTTGAATATCTATTGAAAACGGGCTCTGACCGCATCCCTCAGCAGTGTGTGGAGAACATTCACATTATCAAAATCCTTGTAGAGTACCGCTTCACAGACAAGGATGGAAAGGACCAGGTACTGCAAAATATTTGATTCTTCTACACTCATTACATTAATAATAGATGATAAAGGTCTTAAAGCTTATGGATAATGGATTTGCTCTTTGTAGGGGGTGAATGTGAGAGAAAAGGCTAAGATAGTGATGGTGCTGGTTGAGGATGAGGAAAAGAGGAAAGAGGAGAGGGAATCTGCTATGAAGACAAAAGACAAGTTGACAAAGGCTCCCAGTGGTAAGACTCATGAACCCATTAGCACTTTTCTTGCATAAAGGAGCTTCACATCATATTCAATTATTTCAGTTTCCGTACGGTATTACACATATTACATATTAAATATATTTAAAGGGACAGTGTACCCGAAAATGAAAATTGTGTCATGATTTATTCATTTTCGTTTTTCCATGAAACACAAAAATAGATTTTTTGCTGAACCTCCAAAAAGAACACAAAAACATTTCTTATTATTATCAATGTTAAACATTCATGCTGCTTAATATTGCAGTGTAAGCTGTGATACATTTTTTCAGGATTCTTTGATGAATAGATTTTTTTTTTTTTTAATATAACTCTTTTGTAACATTAAATGTCTTGACTGTGACTTTTTATGAATTTAATGCATCCTTGCTGAATTTTTAAACTTTTGAATAGTAGTGTCTTCTTGGTGTTTTTTTTTTTTATATCTGTTTAACTCTCTTTTTTTATGTCAGCATCCTCCGCTGCAGGACCAGAAAAAGAAAAGCCAGAGATCCCCCCATATACAGGGCTGCCCTCCCTGGACAACATCCCATCGGTGGCTGACCTGACCGCTGCCATGGCCAAGAAGAAGGAGGAGCAGAAACGTCTGGAGGCCGAGAAGAAAGAGGCAGAGAGACGGGTAAGACAGACTGATCAATAACTCAGAGAAACTTTATTACATTCAAATTGAGTGATATCACAGTATCTGACAATTGTCAGACTGTCTAAGCTGACATGATGGAAATTTGTGGATTCAGGCAAAGGAAGGTGACACAGAGCCAGATCTTTGGGAAAAAGCATCAACAGCCACACCTCCGTCCAGCTCGGACCCCTGGGGAGCCCCATCCGACGCTTCCAACGAATCCGCCCCTGGTACCAACGACCCGTGGGGGGCATCGTCTGATGAGGCAAAGGAATCCAGTTCAGCTTCTAATCCTTGGGGTGAACCTGCTGATGGGAAAAACGAATCTGCACCCACATCCAATGATCCATGGGGAAGATCTGCCAGTGCCGAGAATGGTTCTCCACCTGCTGCCAGCGACCCATGGGGTGACTCTGCTGGAATTTTAGAGGATAATTCAACAAATGATCCATGGGGGGCTGAAACGGCGAAAGACTCTGATGCAGCAACCTCAGATCCATGGGGAGCACCGGCGGATAGTGTGCAGGATTCAGCACCTGCAAACTCTGACCCGTGGGGGGCATCACCAGTCACGTCTGATCCATTTGGTGATGATTCAAAAGCAGATAATGACCCTTGGGGCACAGCAGGTAAGAAAGTGACTGGATTGAAGAACAAGTACATCACATATAATGAGCTTTTTACTGTCCCCACTGACAATTGCTTCAACATTTGGTGAAAAGTTTGGGTTCTTTTAAAAGTAATTAACACCTTTATTTAGCAACGATGCATTAAATTGGTCAAACGTGACAGAAAAGATTTTAATTTCAAATCAGTTATGTTCTTTTGAACTTCCTATTCATCAGATAATCCTGGAAAAAAAGTCTCATGGTTTCCAGAAAAACATGAAAACATTGATAATAAAGAAGAAATGTTTCTTGAACACCAAATCAGCGTATTAGAATGATTTTCTTAAGGATCATGTGACACTGAAGTCTAAAAATTCAGTTTTATCATCAAAGGAATAAACAATAAAACAGAAACCAGTTATGCTGTATATAATATTACTATACTATTTATTACTGTTTTACTGTATTCTTGATCAAATATTAATGCTGCTTTGGTGAGCACAAGAGATTTAGTTCAAAAACATTGTAGAATCTTACCGACCTCAAACTTTTGAACAGTAGTGTAAATGTAGATTACAGTTTAAACGAAACACTATTAAGTTAGTGATGGTGTTATTGTATGTCAGATGTTCACATGCTCTTTTTGATTGTTTAAACTAACAAAATAAATGTACTTTCAGAAGAATTACAATACAAGCTCACTTTTCCTAGCTAATCATTGTATTTCTTACTCTCAGCATCTTCACCCCCCACTGCGAGCGACCCCTGGGGTGCCCCATCAGCTGCTATGACAACTGGTGACCCTTTCGGTGATGGTGGTAGATCAGATCCATGGGGGGGTTCCTCTGAAAACGGTACTAATGGAACAGTTTTCTTTCTCCATTTGTTTCTGCAGTCTCAAATCTTATTTTCCATGGTCAATTAACAGGTTAACTTAGTCTTAAAGGAATAGTTCACTTAGACATTAAAATTCTGTCATCATTTACACACCCTCAAGTTGTTTCAAACCTGTATGAATTTCTTTTTTCTGCTGAACACAAAAGAACATATTTTGAAGAATGTCAATAACCAAACAGTTGATGGACCCCATTGACTTCCATAGTATTTTTTTCCTAATATGGAAGTCAATGGGGTCCCTCAACTGTCTGGTTATTGACATTCTTCAAAATATCATACTTTATGTTCAGCAGAAGAAAGAAACTCATACAGGTTTGAAACAACTTGAGGGTGTGTAATGATGACAGAATTTAACCTTTTAAGTGAACTATTCCTTTAACCTTAGGCCTTGTCCACACGGACACGGGTATTTTATAACCGTGACTTTTTTTACGCGGTTCAGCTGTTCGTCCACACGGAAACGCAGGTCACTGAAACCGAACATTTTTGAAAACCCCTGCCAGGGTGAGGATTTTCAGAAACGCCGGTTACAGTGTTGTCGTGTAGACAGTCAAAACGGGGTTTTTGCCTTGCGACATCAGGGTGTGCGCCGTTATCCGCTGTGTTTGACGTCAGATTGTGCGCCGTTATCCGCCTACCGGAACCGGCAATAACTTTTTGTTAGGCTTCTGATTGGCCAAAGTGGCTTTACAGTTAGGGTTATATCGCCGCCTGCTGGTGTGGAATGCTCTTGACAGCGCTTGATAGCGTGTTTTTGCGTTTTCATGTAGACGGAGATTTTTTTTTAAACCGAGCATGTGTGGATGGAATTTCTTTTTTAAACGCAGGAGGTAAAAACTCTGGTTATAAAAATACCCGTGTCCGTGTGGACAAGTCCTTAAACTCACTCATTAGTCACAAACTGGCTGATGCATATTGCACACAAAAATGGTAAGAGCTTTCTAAAAATGGCAAGCACCCATCTAATCTAATTGCTGAGACTGCCATTTTCATGTTATTGCATCCATTGAAGAGTTTGTTTGAAACATTTTGTTGCAAATAAACAAGATATTTCTATGTTTCATATTCCTCTCTTATAGTTACAGTTATATCAGATTTTAGATTTCACATCACTAAATATCTAGCACTAAAAATAAAGAACAAACCGTTATTGTCGTGATTAACTTTCATCTTATTTTGGTCTTTTGTGTTGTCTGCTAAGATTTTATCTTTTATCAGGTTTAATTTATTTGTATTTGTTTTATTTCTTTATTTTTAATAAATGTTATACTAATAAAATAAATAAAATATACACTACAGTTCAAAGGTTTGGTGTCGATAAGATTTTTTAAATGTTTTTGAAAGAAGTCTCTAATGCTCTCTAAGGCTGCGTTTATTTAATACAAAATACAATGATACATGTAATATTGTGAAATATTAATACAATTTAAAAGAACTGTTTAATATATTTTAAAATATAATTTGATGGCAAAGCTGAATTTTCAGCATCATTACTCCAGCCTTTAGTGTCACATGATCCTTAAAGTGATACTCCACTTTTTTTGGAAATAGGCTCATTTTACAACTCCCCCAGAGTTAAACTGTTGAGTTTTACCGTTTTTGAATCCATTCAGCCGGTTCTGGCGGTACCACTTTTAGCATAGCTTAGCATACATCATTGAAGTGGACAAGACCATTAGCATTTCTAAAAAAAAAATGACCAAAGAGTTTCGATATTTTTCCCATTTAAAACTTGACTCTTCTGTAGTTACATCGTGCACTAAGACCGACGGAAAATGTAAAGTTGCGATTTTCTAGGCTGATATGGCTAGGAACTATACTCTCATTCCTGCGTAATAATCAAGAAACTTTACTGCTGTACCATGAGTGCAGCAGGCGTAATGATATGACGCAGCGCCTGAAAATAGTTCCGTTGTGTTGACGGAAGGTAGCCTTTTCCAAAAAAAGTGGAGTATCCCTTTAAGAATTCATTTTAAAATGCTGATTTGCTGCTCAAGAAACATTTCTTAATATTAATGTTGTAAACAGTTGTGCTACTTAGTGTTTCCTTGAAAACCATGAAACTATAGAGCAGCATTTATATAAAAACAAATTAACATAAAAGTCTTTACTGTCACTTTTGATCAATTTAATAATTATACAATACAGTCATGAAACTCTAAAGGATGCAGGCTGATCTTCAAGCAATCACATAATTAACACATGGCACAATCGGATGGACTCTGCTGATCCTGCAGCCAATCAGATTGCTTGCTCAACATGTAAATAGTCTGGCTCATTGTTTGCTGTAAACTGGTTTTGCAGCACGCTATCAGAGTTCCTCTGAACCCGTCCACCTCCCCAAGCTCCACCGGCCTAGATCTTCTACTTATGTATGTACTTATGTAACTATTCCTGGAGTTGTCATGATTGAAATGCGTTCTTGCTGAATAAAAATAGTATTTAAAAAAATCTTACTGACACACAAACTTTTGAAAAGTAGTGAATAGAATAAGAAATATTTTTTCCAAGGGGTAAGGAACATTTTAGTGCTTTTCCCTTGTTTCAATAGCACAAGAGAGGTTATTTTGTCTGAATTGTTTTTCTATCAATAGGTGACACTTCTACAAAACCTGCTGAGGAGACCAAAAAGCCAGCGTCCTTCCTCGGAGAAGGTGCTTCATTGGTGGACTTGGACTCTCTTATGTCAGTCAAGCCCAAACCGAAACAGCCCCCTCTCAGCTCCATCCCCACTCAAAAAGCCCCGGGTAAGGAGGGCTGAGAGAGAGAGAGAGAGAGAGAGAGAGAAACACTGACAATAAGAGCGACTGAGAATAAAAGAGAGAAGCACTGTATAGTTATCTGTTTATTTTTGAGTGTTTGTGATGCGATGTTTTACAAGCCTAGAGTTCATATAGTCAGAACATAACCTGTACGTAGTTGATGTTGATCCCATCTCAACCTTCTTTATCCTTGCTTCTATATGCTATCCATTTCCCTTCTCCCTCCCCATCTTCCCTTTTTGGTTTGCACACTTTCAACTTTCATCCTTCCCAGGTGTTTTGCCAGCCACAGGTTTTACCAGGCCATTGGGCGGCAGCATATCAAATGCAGGCGGTTCTGTTGCACAGCCATCAATTCCAAATTATTTTGGTTTTAATGCCATGACACCCTGTTCCAGTGGCCTCTCCCCCTTAAACTCAGCCTTTGGGGTGCCTGCCGCCCATATGGCATCTCCAACCCAGAATGCAAGCCTTTCAGCTTTGACGATGCCCAACATGGGCTTTCCCATGGCTAACCCTCACACAGCGGCTAGAATGGTACAACCCAGCACTGCTGGCCCTCTTATTGGTGAGTTTTCTTCTATGTCTCTCACAGGAACCGTTACCCCACAAGCTCCAGTTCTTCATCGACCTCCATTGGTTTGGGGCTCTGGAACTGGGGCAGTTGGGAAAGGAAATAACATTTTTTGAGGTCTCCACCCAGCATCCATTCATCCCTAGCCTTCTCCTTGCCCCACCACCTTCATCGATCCTAGTTGATTATGTGTGTGTATAAGTGTGTGCAAATATTTAAATAGTAATGAGCAACAATATACCGTAAGTTTTCTGTTTTGGGAAAAAAAAGCATGCATACCCCTGCCTTTCCAACATGATGGACTGACAGATTGAAGCAGGTGTTTTGTTTATTCACTTGTTGGGGTTTTTCAGTATGTTTTAGAAGATAACTGGCTTATCTACTGGAATATCTGACCTGCCACTGGGCAGATTTTGGATACACTACCATGCAAAAGTTTGGGGCCAGTAAGATATTTTTAAGGAAATTAATTCTTGTGACACTTTCGATTTAATTCATCAGTAAACACATTTATAATGTTAGATATTAATTCAAATAAATGCTGTTCTTTGGAACTTTCTATTCATCAAAAAAAAATCCTTAAAAATGTATCGTGGTTTCCACACACACACAAAAAAAAAAGATATTAAGCAGCTTCAGCAGCAAATCACCATATTAGAATGATTTCTGAAGGATCATGTGACACTGAAGACTTGAGTAATGATGCTAAAAACTCAGCTTTGCTATCACGGGAATAAATTACATTTTCAAATATATTAGAATAGAAACCTTTATTTTAAATTGTAATATTTCACCTGCTTGTTTTACTGTATCATGTTTCAGTTTCAGCCTTGGTGAGCCGAAGAGACTTTCAAAAACATTAAAAAAAATCTTAGTGACCCCAAACAGATCTTTGAACAGATATCAGTGTGCGTTTGTCTGATAACATAGCTGGATAAACATCTAACTTGCTGTGAGGAGTAAAAAAAAATCTGATTTTTATTCCCAAACATACCTGAATAACCAAGGAAGTTGGAGACCTAGACGTGCTTTGACATTGTAACCATCATTGAATATATTTGTCTTTTATTGCTATTTTATGCAGCATTCTGTATAACACACAGGATTATGCATATTGAAATATCCAGATGTGGCTTGTAGTGATTATTATGATAAGAAACATTCCAGTCATAAACATTGTTATGCTTTAGTTGGTTACGTCAGGTATGGGGTGTATTAAACGTTTAGGGTCCTAAAACTTGAACACCTCAATTTTCCTTTTTTGTTTTTTTTGGGGATTATGTCATGTGGTTTGAAATTGTTCTGTTTTTTAGTCAAAACAAATCTGCTGAAGGCAGCAATGTAACTGGCGATCATGCACAATGTTTGTTGGGAATTGTTGCTTATTTAAGCAAGTTAACAATAGGAGAGGAATAAGAGATTAGATGAAGAGAAAGATATAAAACTTTTGAATATTGATATAAAGAAGATTCATGTTCTTTCTCTTTTTATTAAGATGCGTCTTCACCACAGTTTGCTTTCTGTTGCAAAATTGATGTTTATTTTTATTGGTGCATTTATTTATTTATTATAATTCAGACTTTTTCTTTTGGTCATTTATCTGAAGGAAGAGTGTGTTGGAAGATCAAAATCATTATAAATCGATGAAATTAAAAAATGTATGAAAAAAAGCATACTTTTCCACATTGGCTATAATTATAGGTTCAGTTACGGTTTTATTTTGTATTACAAATATATATATTTATTTATTTATTTAACCAGCTATGGTAAACCTGTGGTGTTACCTGTGAAAGTGCACAATTTAAGAATAAAGTGACAAGATCATTGAAAAGCTTATCCTTCATTCTAGTGACTTTATTATTTGCGTTAAGTAATGTTTCAGGTTCGATGCATTGACATTTAAATTGGCTTTTTATCAAATGGGCAAAAATAAAGAAAAGAACGAGTTAATTCTTGATTGACTGCAAGGCTTCAAAATGAGGAAAGGAGCTAACATAACAGATGAAATTAACTCACTGTAAGCCTTATTGGCAGCATACTATTAATTCATGTTATTGCACTATTGTCTTTTAACCACCAGGGGGAACATGATTCTAGTGGGATCTCCAAGACTCACCATCTCAGTATTCATGTAGAGAAAAGTTTCAGAAAAAAATATATATATATTCATAATATGATTTTTTTCTTTCTTTCTTCTTTAAACAGTTTCTAGCAAAATAATTGCAGGCCCGCTGCCATTTGGTACTGAACCTGTAACCATATTCTTAACCTTTAGTCTACTGCATTCCTTAACTGATGAAAGAAGAGAAATAAAGAATTGTCCGACACAACTGTAGTTACATGGCTTGGTTTTTCATGAAGATATAATGCAGTCTGAAAAGCTCTTAAGATTATATAATATACAAAATACATGTGCTTGGGAGGACTTGACACTGTGAGAATCCTTTAATTCAACAGTCTTACATGGAGGAGATGAATGTAACCTGGTTGTGGGCGAAGAGAGAGAGATTTAAATGGAGAAAGAGGCAGAATCGAAGGAACAGATGGATTTGGGCGGATTAAGTGAAATCTGGGTGGGTTTGTCATGAACATTCACTCGAGGTTGAGAATGAATAAAAGAAAAGAGACAGTGAGATAATAAAAGTGAAACTGCAGAGACAGATGCACATTGGCTGAGGTGGGTTGTATTTCTTTTTTTAAAACTAAATTTCTTACTTTTTTCAAAATGTGAAAAGAATGTGTATTTAATTGGCATTTTCTTGGGCATGGAATTGTTTGTTAATATTATATTACCAGTTGCACTGCATTTATCCCTGCAAGTATATCGTGATTGTGATGATGTAATTCTATTCATTCCTCGTGTGATCAAAAGTATTTAAATACCTGTGTTGAAAGTTTGTCCAAATATATATATAATATACTGTAAAAAATGTATATGATCAGTTAAATTGACAACATATGTTTTACATTGCCTTTAACTCATCAAAATAATTTAAGCAATTTTCAACTTTTTTTATAAGTAATACAAGATTCAGCTTTTTTTTTTTTTTTAGTTGACAAACATCCAAGTTGATTGTACTTAAAAATTTAAGGCAGCAATTTTTTTTTTACAGTGTGTGTATATTTATATAAATATATATATATATGATTGTTATTTACAATGGTAAAATAATGTGAATAATCAATTGATATTTAACATTTTTCACATGAAAAGATCTATATATTTACACAGAACTAAATATTTCAGAATACTGAAGACGTCATAATACATAATGCTTAATCTCTCTGGTCTGTGGATAGGTGTTTCAGGGGGCTCTGGATGGACCAGGACAGACAGATGTACCTTTTAGATTAACCAAGATCATGAAGGATTACAAAGAAATAGACGATGGTGATTAAGACATGGAATAAGTACGAAATACTCTGAAAATTGTAATCTCTCCAAGAAAGAGGCCAGGTGGTAGAGATGGGCAAGAACAAAGAGAAGAACAAGGTCCTTCTTGATTGAAAAAAAAAAAAAAAAAACATATCCAAGAGACACATTCAGCATGAAGATTTTTCATTGTCAGCTTCATCTCCTTTGACTTTGGGTGCTTTGAGGACATATTGGCCATATTTGTTGGTAGTGGACTGAGGGAACATTTCTGGATTTCACCGGCTGTGAAAAAAATTGACTCTTTTATATGGAATCCTAAGAAAGGCGTTGGCAAGTGTTTTCACTTCCTCACATCTGTCTCATTTCCTTTCCTTTCTCTCTCTTTAAATCCTCTGCTCATCATCTCACTTCCACTGACCTTTAATTCTCCATCTTCAATTTCTATTTGTTTCCCTCGCTCATGTAAACTCCTCCTCTCTGACTTTTGACATTGGCCTGCCGCTTCAATCATTTCTTCTAAGTTTAGTAATCTTACTTTCCCATACTCCACTGCCCACATTTCCACCACTCTGTTCTTTCCATCTCCTCAACTCTAATTTCATCTGTGGGTGGATACGCACACAAAGCTTCTTTCTTAGAGCCTGAATGTTGTCTTTTCTTCGTTGTCTGCTGTATCAGGTACTATCTGTATCATTCCACCATGTTGGAGCAGATGTCTCGCAGGAGTCGGTCCTTGCTGTCTCTTTCGCTGACCTCTCTGGCCCTAGCGCTCTCTGTGCTGGCCTTCTGCACCTCATATTGGTGCGAGGGCACACATAAAGTGGTCAAACCTCTCTGTCTGTCGCCTGTGAAAATGAAGAACTGCGGACAGAACAACAGCCAGCCTTACACAGCTGGTAAGGATGTGTCTATACCGGAAAACTGTTTGCAAATAAGATGCCAGTCCTCATTGCATTAAACACTTGACTATAGCATTACTAAGAGTGCAGTCTCTTATGTTTACATACTATAAACAGATTTTGTCCTGAATAATCTCCTGAAATAACCTCTTGCACTTTCAAACTGTAAAGATCAGAGATTTACAGGTCAGTACTTGCTGTGGTGTAATCTTTTGTCAAACAACCTCTACAAATCTAATAGATCATTTTAACCCCACTTACACTGAGGGAGATTATCACTACATCTAAATCTTATGTGATTCAAAACGAAGGTTTTCATTCAGATTAGGTGAACACTGAATTATTTACATGCAAGAAGGATCCTGGACAACATTGTCAACATTCTAGTCAATAGCAAAATTGATGGTATGTGTGTATAATCGAACAGAATAGATTTGAAGCTCTATTTTTAATTCCATTGCTTTTTCATGTGCTTCAGTCTCTTTTTATTCTGTTGTTTTTTCATGTAGTTAAATTATCTCTCTTTCCTCAGAGGTCCCAACAGCAGACCCTAAGAAACCAGATTCCAATGTGACAATGTCCCCAAAGCAGAAGGAGGAACTGGACCGAATGAGAGCCAAAAATCTGGCAAATGCAGTCCACTACATCTGGGAGACGGGAGAAGACAAATACATGTTGCGCTACTTTCACACTGGCTTCTGGTTGTCCTGTGAGAAACACAATGAAGGTGCTTGTGAGCGTTTATGCATTCTGATGCATGTACATTTTAAAAGAAAAAATTATAAAGCAACAAAACATCAAAATTCACTTTTACTGCCAGACTTACTTTGCCTCTTTTTGGCTGGATTGAGTCTTGTAATGTTCTTCATATAAAGTTCCAATTAATGGAGTGCATTCGAGTCCAAAGAAAATGAGTAAAACACACAATTAACACATAAAACAACTGTCATGTGGCCATCTGTCGAAGCTGTTCTTGATACTAATGTCCTGATTCAGTCCCTTTGAAAATCTGTTTCCATTTGTGCCATTTCTTTCCTCTCATTTATCTGACATGGGGTCACCCCAGTTCTCAACATCTGCTTCAACAAGTCAGTCTTACACAACTCAGAGGACACAGCTACAAGTTTCTAAAGTTACATATTACGCATCACTGTTTTAAATGCGATAGATAGATAGATAGATAGATAGATAGATAGATAGATAGATAGATAGATAGATAGATAGATAGATAGATAGATAGATGGATGGATGGATGGATGGATGGATGGATGGATGGATGGATGGATGGATGGATGGATGGATGGATGGATGGATGGATGGATGGATGGACAGATGGACAGATGAATGGATGGATAGATAGATAGATAGATAGATAGATAGATAGATAGATAGATAGATAGATAGATAGATAGATAGATAGATAGATAGATAGATAGATAGATAGAAGGACAGATAGATAGATAGATAGATAGATAGATAGATAGATAGATAGATAGATAGATAGATAGATAGATAGATAGATAGATAGATAGATAGATAGATAGATAGATAGATAGATAGATAGATAGATAGATGGAAGGACAGATTAATAAATAGATGGATAGATGGATGGACGGATAGATAGATAGATAGATAGATAGATAGATAGATAGATAGATAGATAGATAGATAGATAGATAGATAGATAGATAGATAGATAGATAGATAGATAGATGGATGGATGGATGGATGGATGGATGGATGGATGGATGGATGGATGGATGGATGGATGGATGGATGGATGGATGGATGGATGGATGGACGGACAGACGGACGGATGGACAGATAGATAGATAGATAGATAGATAGATAGATAGATAGATAGATAGATAGATAGATCTATCTATCTATCTATAAGATAGATAGATCTATCTATCTATCTATCCAGAGATAGATAGATGGATGGATGGATGGATGGATGGATGGATGGATGGATGGATGGATGGATGGATGGATGGAAGGAAGGACGGACGGACGGACGGACGGACGGACGGACGGACGGACGGACAGACAGACAGACAGACAGACAGACAGATAGATAGATAGATAGATAGATAGATAGATAGATAGATAGATAGATAGATAGATTGATTCCCCAAGAAACAGTTGGCAAAGACTGTGCTTATTCTTCACAGGTGAGAAATGTCGGAGCTTTATTGAACTGACCCCTGGAGAAACACAAGGTGAGATATTTATGAGCTGTACATGTAGAAAAACTGTTCATGAAATAGCTCATTTCTGTTTCATATGCTGTAGGAGTTCTGTGGCTCTCAGTCATATCCGAGTTTGCATACATCAGCCTCCTGGCGATGGGCTTCCTTCTGATGTGGGTGGAACTGCTGCTCCTGTGTCTGAATAAGGAAATGTATGCGCTCAAGATCAATGCTTTTGCTGCCATGTGTACTGTGCTGTCTGGTGAGTTTCTGAGAGCTTTGGTGAAAAACATGCTTCTTAATCAGTATGCAACAGAGACAAACAGGGAGAACTATATCTTTTCTACATTTTAGGTCTGATGGGAATGGTGGCACATATGATGTATACAACAGTATTCCAGATGACTGTCAGCATCGGGCCCAAAGACTGGAGACCACAGACCTGGGACTACGGCTGGTCGTTTGCGTAAGTCTCCATCTTTCTCTTGTCCATACTTTTATTTCCTCCCCTTTATTTCTGTGCTTTTCTTTTTTTTACCTGTATACAGTGGGCTCCAAAAGTCTGAGATGACATTGAAAATCCGGGACTCATTATATTATTTAAACCGGGAGATAAACTGAAAGTTTTATAAAAGTTAAATTATATGTATGTTGTTGTATTAATTAATAATATATATATGTTTTTTTCATAACTTTAATATATATATATCACACACACAGATACGTGTGTGTGTGTGTGTGTGTGTGTGTACACTACAGTGTATATACAGTATCAATGTATGTATGTGTGTGTATATAAATAATATAGATTGTTACAAAAAAATTATATTTCAAATAAATGCTGTTCCCTGCTACTGTTTAACTTTCCATTAATTAAAAAATCCTAGTTAAAAATTGCATCACAGTTTCCTTAAATTTAAGCAACACAACTGTTTTCAACATTGATAATAATAAGAAATGTTACATGAGCACCAAATCAGTATTCGAATATTTCTGAAGGGTCATATGACAGTAAAGACTGGAGTAATAATGCTGAAAATTCAGCTTTTCCATCCAAGAAATAAATTACATTTTAAAATATATTAAAAGAGAACACAATTATTTTAAATTGTAATAGTGTTTCACAATAGTACAGCTTTTACTGTATTTTTTATCAAATAAATGCAACCAAGGAGAGCATAGGAGACGTCCTTAAAAAATATTAAATAAAATCTTACCAAACTTTTGAACTTTAAGTTGCAAATCATCATTTTAAAAAAAACAATTTTTGACTCCTAATTTCACACTTAAGTCTCCGTTGGTGCTCCTCCACAGCATGGCGTGGATCTCCTTCAGCTGTTGCATGGCAGCGGCCGTATTCACCCTGAACTCTTACACCAAGACTCTGATCGAGATGAAGCACCGTGCCCGGATCCGTCTGGAGGAGGCCCATGCCGCCAGCCACGCGCCGCCCTATGATGAGGTCATCACGACCGGTGGCGGGAGCCTCTACTCGGTCAGCCAACTGATTCAGCAAAGCCAGAAGGGTGCGTTTATCGACACTGTGTGGACCCCCAGGGAGGAAGGGTCTGGTGGGGGTATGGTGGGGGCGAAAAGTCCTCACGGACTGGTACTAGTGAGGGGGTGCGGGAGAGAGGGATGCGAGGACTGCCAGAGAGAAATGGATGAGATGGAAGATGAGTTGGAGAGGGAAGGGAATGATGAAATGTGCTGAGGAGACGTGATAATAAGGTCTGGCTCTGACATAAGGGACATTCGCACAGAAGAACGCCCAACCAAACTGCAGGAAGTCCTTCGTCATTGGCAGCATCAGTGACCAAGTTTACATGCATATCATTTTCCAATTAAGATCCATACTTTGGTATGCCTTGGTAAGCCTGAAAAAGACGTTTACATGTATTGCAGCTATTGAAATATTCCCGTGTTCACGTAATCAGCATATTCCGAATAAACACACGTGAAGGAAGTTTGCAATTTATTCTGATGCATTGAGTCATTTTGGACTGTAATTTAAGCATTAAATGTCATTGCACGCAAGAGTGGGACCCCGTGTTAAATGTCCTCTTGTCCTCTTCGCTCCAAAAATCTTTCTTCAAGAGTTTGTTCACTCAATGATTCAGATCGAGAGTTTTTGCTTCAGGAATTCTAAGAACATTTGTTCTTTCAATTATGTCTGGGAGGCTCATTCGGATTACATCTGGCTCTCTATAATATATGTCAATCTGTACAACCATTCTCCACTTCATTTTATTTAGGTTTTTTTCACCAAGCACAATATCACATAATCTGAATATACAACAAGATGGAGTGATGGACAGATTACAACAAACAGAGGAATCCCAGCAGCTTTAGACAGATGCTTTAAAAAGCTGGACAGAAGATTATGTGAATAATCTCCCCAGTAAGAGACAGAGATCAAGTGAGAGATGGAGAGAATGAGAAATGCTACGAAAAGAAAATCAAAATCACAGAGGACAAGAGAGGAGAAATGCTTTTCTTAAGAGAATGTTGTCTCAATGGTTAGGTTACAGCATGCATATTATGGTAAAGCGGACATCTGAATATTCAAATCAAAATTCAAATAAAAAATGTTAGCTGTCTTAAAAAAGAGAATACTTGTGATATGTCGTCTTTACACCACTGTAATGCAATACTAATATTACAGTGATATAGTGCAAAAATAAACCATGTAAATCTTGTTTGGATGAAATAAAAAGCAATGACACCATATCTTAATGTGAGAGAATAATTAAACAACCTCAATCATTTCACGTCGGTTTCAATCCCAACACATTTTGATACCCCACTGGACACTAAACAAATTCTGAATATGAACCTCCAAATACAATCTAAAAAATTCGATTAGAATTACTATATAAGGTATGTGATTAAACAAAGCGGCATACCTACTAGCCACTAATTCATCAAATGCATGACAGAAATCAAATACATTATACCCTTAACTAAGATATTAAGATATTACTGTCAAAATGGAATGCACTATTATTATTTTTAAACAGATATCAATTGCTTAATAGAAAAAACTAGCAGAACACAATGGTGACCCAAATTAAGGATGGTGAATCTTTAATGAGCACATTTAATGTACAACAAATGCACATGAAGTCAAGCATGAGAAAACTGCCGTTTGCGTGATGATTATGTTGGATCATTTATGGTCATACTGAATGAGCCGTAGTGCAATCTCGCTATCTTGGACGGCTTGGATGAACTCCCCCTCTGCGATTCGCTCTGCGTGTGTGAGAGAGAATTTGCTATGTAAAACTTGTCTGTATGGTAATATCTATGGAAGCTTGTTTCCGCCATGAAACATATATAAAAAAAAAAAAATAGAAAATTGTGACTTTTTATCTCAGTTTTTTCTCTCACAGATGTGCATTTATATCTCACAATTCAGACTTTTTTCTCAGAATTACATTCGAATATTTTATTCGAACTATATCTCGCAATTCTGACTTTACTGTAAAAAAAAAAGTTGCTGCCTTCAATTTTTAAGTACAATCAACTTGGATGTTTAAGTCATTTCAAACTTAAATTACATTAAACTGCCTTTAAAAAATTGGTTGAATCTTGTATAAGTTGAAATTGCTATTACTTTACTTATTTTGGTGAGTTAAAGCAATGTGAAAACATTTGTCGTCAACTTATTGCAGTGTTTAACTAAGTTTATGTCTCACAATTCTGAGAAAAAAAGAATTGTGAGATATGAACTCTGATGTGACAAATTGACGAATTGTGACAAAATAAGCTCGTTATCCTGACTTTTTTTCCTCGCAATTCAGAGTTTCTATCTCACAGCTCAGACTTTTTTCTCGCAATTGTGAGTTAATGTCTGGCAATTCTGACTTTTTTTTTTCTCAGAATTGTAAGATATAAACTCGCAATTGTTAGTTATAAAGTCCAAATTGTGACGTGTGCCTGGTTTCAAAGACAGGGCTTAGATTAAGCCAGGATTAGGCCTTAGTTTAATAAGGACATCTAAGTAGCTTTTATAAATGTGCCTTAGAAAAAAGCACAACTGGTGTGCATCTTGAGATCAAAACAATGGCACTGACCTATTTTTAGTTATACCAGTGCAAGTTGCGTTCGGTTAAAACAGCTCAAACATGCATTGTAGTCAAGGCTTAAGCCTTGTTTGTGAAACCAGGGGATAAAATAAAAAAGAATTGAATGAAATGAAAAGTCACAATTACCTTTTTATTTATGAACAAGCTTCCATGAATAACAACTAAGAACAGGCCATCTTTAGTTTTCTTACCATTGTCCTTTTTGTCAAAGATGGACCAGAGTTTCTCTGCTCTCTTCTCTGGCGTGCTTTCATCACTGGGAAGATTTGCCTGCTTCTCTTTGGGTATGAGTTTGAAAAGGGCCTGATGGGAAATCAGAGAGAGCTGGATCAAGTTACTGGCTAGAATTAAATAACAGAATCCTGAATTAGAATAAAGTTTTTTAGTTTATTAACATGCAAAATGTCAAGACCCATAAAACACTATTCCACGTTATGCAATATAGTCAGGGTCACTAAAATAGCAATTGTAAAATAGTAATAGTATTCCTTTCATAAATAATTACTATGACTATTTCTGTTTAGTCTTCAGAGGTCTTTTTTTTTTTTTTTTTTTTTTGTTGTTGGCCATTACATGGGCCTATTCTTTGGATAACATCTTATGACGCACAAAGGCGTATTTCTAAATCTGTTATTTTGTTCTGTAATCCATGCTTAGCTCATGGATTTTGTTTAGGCCATGTGCTAAATTTATTTCTCCTCACATTCCCTCAGCTCTCTATCTGTTTGGCCTGAGTGCTATATATGTCTTACTCCTTCTTTAGAGCTTAACTTGCTTGTTTGGTGATTTGTTTGCATGTTGATTTGATTCACCCTAATATAACTGAAGTTACCTAACAATAGGTCAATACAAATAGATGAAATAGTGCCAGCTGTGCCAATCTTACTTAAGAGCTTTGGCAAGATAAAGATTTTGGAGTGCTCTTCTAACCCAAAATATAAATCTGCATGACTCTGAACAGCGTGAAAAGGTATTATAAATGAAAAACCAAAATTAGCAGACTTTCAATTAAATGAATCAGTCTGCAACTTTTTCAAACCGTAAAAAAAGGTCAATATCCAGAATATGAGTTATGCTAAAAAAGGAAATATGAAACTTTTCAGCAAATAACTATTTCAATTTTGGTCTGTCCACACCAAACTATTGCATGACTTCAGAAGACTTGGAATATTGTGTGTAAGGCCTCACACCTAGAACAATATATAAAGTTTAAATAATCGTTCTAATTATTTAAGGATATAGCAAAGTCAACAACACATCACAACTATAATGATAAGGACACAGAGCATTGGAATCACTTTCAGAAAGATTTTTTCTAATGGTGAATGATAAAAACATTAGCAACCAATCAGAATCCATCCAACTTAAAGGGATAGTTCACCCCAAAAAGTATTTTACTTCTCCTCAAGTTGTTCCAAACCTGTATGAGTTGCTTACTTCTGTTGAACACAAAATAAGATATTTAGAAAATGTTTGTAACCAGACAGTTGACGGTAGCCATTGACTTCCATAATAGTCATTGGCTACGTCAACTGGAGATTAGGAACAACTTGAGGGTGAGTAAATGCTGACAGAATTTAAATTTTTGGGTGAACTATGCCTTTAAGAGAGTTCGAGCATTTAAAAAGAGCCCACTTACAATACACAGGATGTCATGTTACATTGGTGTAGACATTAATTTCTATTGAATGTGATGCAGTGTGAACTTTCTCCTTATATGTCCCACGAAAGAAAGTCATGCAGGTTGACTGCAGACATGTGAGTAAATGACAAAAAAAAAAAGATTTTAGGGTGATCTGTTTACACAATAAACCAGTCGAAATAAGGGTTTTAACGCGATTCAAAGCACAACACAAATATGTCACATTCTCAGAGTTGTCACAAGAGCATCTTCTTTTATGACCAATGTTCTGTCATGGCAAAGCTACTACAGTTTGAAAAATCTTGCTAGGCATTTTTTTGTTTATCTGAATTAAACATACTGTAAACCCTAATGCTCAAAATAATGAATTGGTTTGAGTTGGGTAATCTTAAAATAAACTAATTAGTTCAATCAAATGACCTTTTATGAGTATTCAGAACATTCTTTTTCTTTTGAGTTCACAAACACATTTTAAGTAATCAGAATTGTTTCATAGTTTTTAGTTGTATTAACTTGTTTCTTTTAATTTAGACAAACATAAATTTAACTGAAACTGGGCTGGAATTTCTATTTTCCAGCATGCTTTGCCATGACACTCGAAAGGGAGAGTAAATGCTGAGTGTTATATAATGATTTGTGTGCAAGATTAATGTTAAGTGGGAGATTTAGTAGGCTAGAGTTTAATGGTTTGCTATGCTAATTAATTTAATATACTATGCTAATGCTATTAAAGCATTGTGTTACCAAGTTGAAACTTAGTATTTACTTAAATAGCCAAGTTTCCAGTAGGCCTACTAAAATATTTAAGTTGAGAGAACATGGTAATTTTAAGCAAAATGTATGAATTAGCTTACTCATATATTCAAGTTAAGATCAATTAAAATGTATGTGTTCAAAATAAAGAATCTGCCAGTTCTGCTTACTTCAAATACCTTCAATTACCTCAATTGTTTTGAGTTTTGCCAACTTATTCGGGTTTACATTGCAGTTTAATGGCACAGGCATTTGAAGGAAACTCTATTGTCACCATGAGTACTCACGTAACAACCACAACCCAATAACGCGTGTTATTCACAACAGAAGTCCTGCTTTGATGTAATATTACACTGTTTATTTTTGAATGAGAGTTGACTGTCTCTCACAAATAAGGGATATCATTTATTCTGACGATTCATCAGCAACATCTCTGTCCAACACCCTACACTATACTCCCTGGGAAATTGATCGGCCATTTCTGAGAAGAAGGCTTAAGAGTTGGCATGTCATTGAATCCCCCTGTGCCCATGGTCTTAAATCCTGATTGCACATTGAGGCGCTTATCTCTCACACAGTACCCACCACCGAATCCTTCTGCCTCCCTTCGCAATGAGTTCTTATAGAGCTCGGGCTTAAGGGTGATGTCACTCCATACTTTTAATCACTGATCTTAGGTCAGCTTTGATGTTAAATGCTCTTTATGGTTTAAAAGTCACTGTCAAAACGACCTGACTCTGAGACGCATTAATTCAGCCGTGATCCCTTATGACTTAGGTGTGGTTTCGCCTCACCAGGCAAACTTACCAGCTCCACCAGTCACACTGGGGAAATTTTGCAGGCAAAAAAGGTAAATTGTTCATTGTCAATAGTGTAGCAATATATGAATCACAGAGAAGTCACTTTCAAATCAAGCAACTTTCTGTTGGTAAACGTGGACAATTTGTTTGACCAACTGGAACACGAGTTAAATCTGTGTTAGGATTTTTTTTCGACCAATCGAAACTCCCGATCACATGAATTCAGAAATGGCCTTATTTCGCCCGCAAACTTTGACAGAGCAATGGTAATTGTGATTGCACCTTTACTGTCTGAGAGAGTAAATGTAAATACTAATTCTCTGAGACTAGGAAAGTCCACAACACAATTTATAACCACGACACAGATTAACCATGATGATGAACTATAAAAAACATTGATAGCCAATCCGAATCAGCCCCGACTTTAAAGGTAATGGCTGCATTTCGCCCATAAAATTTCACAGAGCAACGTACATTTTTAATTAACCTTTACTGATTTTACGTTCATAATGTTTTATCTTTATGTATTCACAAAGGGTGTTGGCATTTTTAATTGGCCCATTAATTGTATCTACATAAAATGCCATCACTCTTCATTTAATTAATAGATGGCATTTATTTTGCTGTATTTCATAACCGCAGTTGTTCCGTAAGTTTCTGTTCTGCCGGTACTTTTACCCACCAACTGCATGGCTAATAGAGAAATAAATACAAATTATTTATTCTTATTACCAGCCCAATGCGTTAACACTAAACCAATGCGTCTGGGGGCGTTCTGTGAAGATTATCTGTTTGTCTGACCAATGGCAGATGGAGGGAGTGTTCAGGGGGAAACCTGTTTGAAAACATTTGTTTGGGTGATGCTATAGTGGGACAGAATGGACACACTTAAAGCTAAAAAGAATATCAGGAAAATTGAAAAGCATAATATTTTTCATAGTACATGCTATATGATCTTGGGAACTCAATCTGTGGAATGGTGGTTTGTCCAGTAGGATGGAGAACACAGCTCTTTCAGCAGTACATTTTATGTGAAATCTGTTCAATTTCTTACCTGGCTGAGTTCAATCACTTCAGATTTTGTGACGTAACCATTCTTGTCCACATCAAACAGTGAGAAAGCCCACTCCAGCTTCGAGGTGGACTTGCCTGAAGAGGTCATGTGAAGAGCAACAACGTACTCCTGAAAGTCTAATGTTCCATCATCATTGGCATCAAAGGACCGAAAAACGTGTTGGGCATAGGCCTTGGCATCACTTTCGGGGAAGAATTTACCGTAGATCTCCTCAAACTGTTTTGGTGTGATGCGAGCTGAAGGACACTGCTTCTGGAAGTTATCGTACCACTGGGTGATCTCAGCTTCAGAGAACCTGGTGGTCAGCTTGAGGTCATCCAGGATCTCTCTGGGAATCCCTCCACTCTGTGCGTTTCCCATGGCTTCTCTTTGAGTAATACAGAGGAAATTGATGCACTAACAAAGGCTTGTAATTGTGTCCTAAGGATCAGATGGGATGTTAGTCACTCAGGGTATCCGGTCAAAACTGTAATTTAGCAAGTGTGAAGTGTCAAGTGTGGGTCATATTTCACACCAACATTTTTTGAAATTTGTCATAATGCCATAATACATCATTCAAAAATACAACATCTTCCTAAAAAATATGGCATATATAGGCCCTGTCCCAAATGGCACACTTATGCACTTTCGGTCTTACAATGGCTGCCGTGTAAGTGTGTCTGTTAAAGGACAACTCCGGTGCAAAATGAACCTCGGGTGTAATAACACATTGGTACAGACTAAATCGTTCCCTGAGATTTGTTTTCATGATAATCGAATGTAAAGAGTTTTATCTCTAAAAACAGTTTAGCTTATAACGCTAGTGTATTGGGCATCGAGTAAGCAAAAAGAGATCGCTAGTTAATACCATTAACAAGGCTCAAATTAGCCCCACACTAACACGGCAGCATAATGAGTGTCCTTACATGCAAACCGAAGCATTGAGAACTTTGTAAGTGTATAGACAGTTTAATAAGAAGATACTTTACACAGACAGTACAGTTAGCGCATACAGACAGCAGCCATCTTGGAAAACAGTCTCGATTAGTCAAACCACGAACACGGTGATACGTGAGCTGAACTGTGACTTGGAATCTCATATGGTCCGTTGTTTCCGGAAGAAAGCACTGAGCGCATAAGAGAAGCACTGAACGCAACAGAGAAAATAAAAAAATAAATATAATTTATCTTATCTTCAATACCTACACGTACTGTTCGCTCACCTTCGTGGTTCTATTGATCGAGACTGTTTTCCAAGATGGCTGCTGTCTGTATGCGCTAACTGTACTGTCTGTGTAAAGTATCTTCTCATTAAACTGTCTATACACTTACAAAGTTATCAATGCTTCGGTTTGCATGTAAGGACACTCATTATGCTGCCGTGTTAGTGTGGGGCTAATTTGAGCCTTGTTAATGGTATTAACTAGCGATCTCTTTTTGCTTACTCGATGCCCAATATACTAGCGTTATAAGCTAAACTGTTTTTAGAGATAAAACTCTTTATATTCGATTATCATGAAAACAAATCTCAGGGAACGATTTAGTCTGTACCAATGTGTTATTACACGCGAGGTTCATTTTGCGCCGGAGTTGTCCTTTAAGTCCATGAGACCGTAGGGTGTCCCATATGTCACTTTATGTTTCAGAAGGGTGCTCTTGAGTGTCCCCTTTGCGGTCGATTGCCCTCGTTGCGCACTTTTGCCAAGCCCACACAGTGAAGCGAGCTCCGCAGATGACTTCTACAACAGTCAAAGCAGTGTTACGTCACGAAAGTGCGTATTCTTAAGTGTTTAGGGTACCATTTGGGACAGGGCCATAGTGTGCGATTTAAGATTTAACCATTGATAGTCCATAGACAATCCCTCCATTTTCAATATCTGTGAGCTGTAAAATTTCCTTCATGTTCTATTTTTAGAAACCAGGAGAATAACATTTCTTGGTATTTTAATGTGACATGGTGGTATTACAAGCATATCTATCACAAGAGCTCTTTTCAGTCGCTGTATTCTTTTCCTCTTGGTTATTTTCTCTTTTTCCCTTTTTATTCCACTGCATTCGTCTGCTCTCCCATTTTAATTTACAATATATCCCATGAATAATTCACTGGAATGCACTAAGAATCTTGTTTCTCTCCCCAAATCCTCACCCCTGATAGCACACGTACATCACGGACACGTCTATTTGATGTCTACATTTACATCTGCAAGATGTAGTTTTAGAGTGTTTGCTCATCTGCAATATAAAAATAATAATAATAATTCGTTACATTTATATAGCACTTTTCTGTGAATTCAAAGCGCTTTACATTGAAGGGGGAATCTCCTCAACCGCCACCAATGTGCAGCATCTACCGGGATGATGCGACGGCAGCCAAATTGCGCCTGAACGCCCACCACACACCAGCTTACTGCTGGAGAGGAGACAGAGTTATGAAGCCAATCAATATATGGGGATGATTAGGAGGCCATGATGGACAGAGACCAATCGGCAAATTTGGCCAGGATGCCGGGGTTACACCCCTACTCTTTTTTCGAAGAACATCCTGGGATTTTTAATGACCACAGCGAGTCAGGACCTCGGTTTTAACGTCTCATCCGAAGGACGGTGCTCTTTTGACAGTATAGTGTCCCCATCACTATACTGGGGCGTTAGGACACAGACCACAGGGTGAGCGCCCCCTGCTGGCCTCACTAACACCTCTTCCAGCAGCAACCTGGATTTCTCAGGAGGTCTCCCATCCAGGTACCAACCAGGCTCAGCCCTGCTTAGCTTCAGTGGGCAACCAGTCTTGGGCTACAGGGTGATATGGCTGCTGGCTATATAATATGACATATAATATGTCTCTAGACACTTCCTGTCAGGTGTTAAATAAACATTTAGAAAATGTCTTTAAGATGTAGAAGCCTTATTAGTGGCTGTTTCTATGGGCCGCCATACTACGTTTTTGCTAAACTAACACAATACAAGAAGGCGGCGTCAGCTAACACGACATTAAAAGGTTTCCACAGTATAAAAACCTGTAATATTGAGTAAATACTGTACATATAAAAACACAAACAAACACATAATAATAATAATAATTCATTACATTTATATAGCGCTTTTCTCGGCACTCAAAGCGCTTTACATAGAAGGGAGAATCTCCTCAACCACCACCAATGTGCATCATCCACACACCAGCTTACTGGTGGAGAGGAGACAGAGTTATGAAGCCAATGAGTATATATATATATATATATATATATATATATATACACTCACCGGCCACTTTATTAGGTACACCTGTCCAACTGCTCGTTAACACTTAATTTCTAAGCAGCCAATCACATGGCGGCAACTCAGTGCATTTAGGCATGTAGACATGGTCAAGACAATCTCCTGCAGTTCAAACCGAGCATCAGTATGGGGAAGAAAGTTGATTTGAGTGACTTTGAACGTGGCATGATTGTTGGTGCCAGAAGGGCTGGTCTGAGTATTTCAGAAACTGCTAATCTACTGGGATTTTCACGCACAACCATCTCTAGGGTTTACAGAGAATGGTCCGAAAAAGAAAAAACATCCAGTGAGCGGCAGTTCTGTGGGCGGAAATGCCTTGTTGATGCCAGAGGTCAGAGGAGAATGGCCAGACTGGTTCGAGCTGATAGAAGGGCAACAGTGACTGAAATAACCACTCGTTACAACCGAGGTATGCAGCAAAGCATTTGTGAAGCCACAACACGCACAACCTTGAGGCGGATGGGCTACAACAGCAGAAGACTCCACCGGGTACCACTCATCTCCACTACAAATAGGAAAAAGAGGCTACAATTTGCAAGAGCTCACCAAAATTGAACAGTTGAAGACTGGAAAAATGTTGCCTGGTCTGATGAGTCTCGATTTCTGTTGAGACATTCAGATGTTAGAGTCAGAATTTGGCGTAAACAGAATGAGAACATGGAACCATCATGCCTTGTTACCACTGTGCAGGCTGGTGGTGGTGGTGTAATGGTGTGGGGGATGTTTTCCTGGCACACTTTAGGCCCCTTAGTGCCAATTGGGCATCGTTTAAATGCCACGGCCTACCTGAGCATTGTTTCTGACCATGTCCATCCCTTTATGGCCACCATGTACCCATCCTCTGATGGCTACTTCCACCATGTCACAAAGCTCTAATCATTTCAAATTGGTTTCTTGAACATGACAATGAGTTCACTGTACTAAAATGGCCTCCACAGTCACCAGATCTCAACCCAATAGAGCATCTTTGGGATGTGGTGGAACGGGAGATTCGCATCATGGATGTGCAGCCGACAAATCTGCGGCAACTGTGTGATGCCATCATGTCAATATGGACCAAACTCCCTGAGGAATGCTTCCAGCACCTTGTTGAATCTATGCCACGAAGAATTGAGGCAGTTCTGAAGGCAAAAGGGGGTCCAACCCGTTACTAGCATGGGGTACCTAATAAAGTGGCCGGTGAGTGTATATATATATATATGGGGATGATTAGGCGGCCATGATGGACAGAGGCCACTGGGCAAATTTGGCCAGGATGCCGGGGTTACACCCCTACTCTCTCGAAAGACATCCTGGGATTTTTTGTGACCACAGAGAGTCAGGACCTCGGTTTAACGTCTCATCCAAAGGATGGTGCTCTTTGACAGTATAGTGTCCCCGTCACTTTACTGGGGGGTTAGGACCCACACAGACCACAGGATGAGCGCCCCCTGCTGGCCTAACTAACACCTCTTCCAGCAGCAACCTGGTTTTCCCAGGTCTCCCATCCAGGTACTGATCAGGCTCAACCCTGCTTAGTTTCAGTGGCCAACCAGTGTTTGGCTACTGATATGGCTGCTGGCGGATTATCATCTGTGAAAAATTTATCCCATTTCTTCTGGAATTTAAATCTTGGCGGATTCACAACCAGAAGCTGTGCAATGTTGTGGCATCATTGATTCTTAGTGTGAGTGACAAAATGCCAGTGTTGGGGAGTAACTAGTTACATATGTCACAGCGTTACGTATAATAAATGTAAACAGCGTAAAATAAATGTAACTGTAATCAATCGTTTAGTAAAGCTATGCTATTCTGATGCTTTTGGTTCTCTTGTTTGAAATTGCAGCGCTATTTTTTTAAATTTGCACAAATGTTCGAATTTGAACCCTGCCTGGGTTAAATGTATATGAAAATGATTAACAGTTGAAAACATTTGTTAGAAATTTAGAAAAGTAATCAAAAGTAATCAGTTACATTACTTTAATAAAGTAATTAGAATAGTTACTCTACTTATTACATTTTTAAATAGGGTAAGTTGTAATCTGTAACCTATTACATTTCCATAGTAACCTTCCCAACACTGCGAAACGTTGACCTTTCCAATATGGCGGATGTGCCAACGTGTCTGGAGCGGTCGAATGTGGCATCTACGGTTATTTTTGCTTGCAGAACTTTACAAATTGTAACTTATACAAATTATGGTAGACTTTTTTTGTGCATTTGTGAACTATTAACAACATTTTTTAGTCAGTGGCTATGCCTTACAAGGCATTAAATATGAAAGTGTCCTAATGAACTGCAGTAAACAAAAAAACAGTTTAGTCTATGCATTTTTGCCTAAACTATTTTACAGATTTAGCCTGATATAAGATTCTTCCATAGCTTTATTTATTGTGCACAGAGCTCATAAATAAAAAATTACTGTAATAAAATTAACTCAGGAGGATATAAGAAGTTTCAGGGAGTAAGCCACTGACTGGGATACTTTGACAAGTGTTTAATGTAGTGATATATATATACTGTGTGCAACTCTTTGTACTCTGAGAGATCACTATATATGTGTGTGTGAAATTAAATATAAATAAATAGAAAACAACATGCTTACCTGTGGTTGTGGTTCAGGGATGAAGAATCACAGGGCAAGTAATCAAGGTGGAGTGTGGAGGAGTAATGAGGCCGTGTTGAAGGAGGTGGCTACCTCTCCATACTGGGTTAAGTCAATTACACAAGATTGCACAAGGCTCAGACAGAAAGAGATTTACATTTCATAATGCACAGTTTCTGTTCTGTTCTTTTTAACCCCATATTCATTGCAGTCACTGTTTCAGCTAAAATGCTCTGACACTGATTGTTTTATGTTTAGATTTTTGTAGTTTGTTATTTGTGGTATTGGTTGCTTTATTTTAACAATACCATGGCTAAGATTGCCATCTTTAAATACAATACGTACTTTCACAGTAATATCCTCAAGCGGTGCATACAGATCAACCATTAGTGTCTAGAGAGAGGGATTTCCGCTCAGATCTTCATAAATCTCATTAAACTAAGTGGTGATGGTCTTCTCCTCTTGGTGTGCTGCCCAGATTTACAGCATCTTGATGTACTTTAGTGACCTTTGAAATAAAAACAGTTAATGCAGTTATAAAAAGACAATTACCTTTAAAGCAGCTATAAAAAGACAAAAACGTTTACTTGAAATTCTCATGTGATGCATCATTATTAGGTTATTAATGATTAAAAACATTTATTTATTTAGAGGTGAATGCAGGTAAACTGGAACTTTTTGCCATTTAGATGACTGGGAAAAAATGTCACACTTATCCTGAATTGATTCATTCATTTATTCAATTTGAATGTTGAATATCTGCTCACTTGAATACAGCCCCAGTCAGGCCCTTTTTATTGAGGTTTGTATTTATTTATTGGAAGGATGATAGCAGTCGTATAAAGGGCGATTTATATTTTAAAACAGAAAGAGAAAACCAAAGTGCTTCAAAACGCTCCAATTTAAATGTTGCCCATTGACATTCTATACAAGCTGTCGTTATTTTTAATCTGTAACCTTCTCTAACATTAAGTTTATCTTTGCTCCTTTTAAAGCGTTGGGTTTTATCTGGGTCATAAATACACCCTGACAGTCTGGTTCTGATCAGCTTACTGTCCCTAGTCTACCTCGTCCTGCCTACGATAATGTCCCTATACCAGACAATCCCTCAACATTTGCTCTATAAAGAGAGAAATAAACAGGAGTTGTTTAAGGAGGGAAAGAACAACAACACGTGACAGGGAAATGAATGCCAAGCTTCTGGAAACAGGTAATTTAATGACTGGTATACAGTTAATTATGTCTTCCATACGTGATTAAACCCACATAATGTCAATTTACTGTATTACAATTGACTTTAATGTCACAGGATTTAACACAGGGAATCCTATTGTGACTAATCTAGTGGCCAATGCCTATATGCCTATCTGTAGACTTTGTTTCTTTTTCAACAAATGTGAACATGAATATAGCTGGTCAATGAACATAGCTGCTTAACATAAAATACGGTTTAAATCTGTCTTTTTCTTCCCCCTCCTCGCTCCTCCGTCCTCCATCCTATGACCTGGAAACCGATCTAGGACATCTCAATTCTCTAATTGCACCGCGAGGAGGCGAGGAACAAGGAGTGAGGAAGCTTCCAGAGGAGTTATGAGCGAGGATGCACATGTGTATCCTATGTGGAAGTCTTTCTTGTCGAGAAACCTGCACACGTATAAATTGAAGTGACGCTCGAATGATCAAGAATATTCCACTAAATAAGCTTTCCTTCGGGGTGGAGCAGAGATGCGAGGAAAGGAAGCGAGGATGCACAAATAAGAATTGAGAAGCACCCAAAATCTCTGCATGCTATGCCAATTCTTACCTTCCACCTCCCCAGCACCACTTGCCTATCTGCTACAGGGGGGTTCCTTCTCTCTAGCAGCAGCATGTTTTCATTCTTTTTATGTTCAGAGCATTTAGCTTGTACTTGCTCTGCAGCAGCAGCGTAGCATAGTCCGCCGAGACCAAAACTATGTACATTATATTTACATTGATAAAATGTTTTACAAACTATCCTGAGAGTTGTCATGACTGAAATAAAACTATGTATTGTTAGTTCATGTTAGCTCAGGTCTAATAAATAATATAAACAAATACAACTTTTGCGTCTAACAATGTAGTAGTAAATGGTGAAATTAATAACTAAAATTAATAAATATTTAAGAAATATTTTTCAATGTTACCTCTTGTTAAATAATGTTAATTAATGGAAACTTACTGTAAAGTGTTACCCAATAACTTCAGTAAAAGTGCTAAATGGACAAACAAGTTTTTATAGTTTTAAATTTTTATATTAATACTAATATAAATACTATTTATATTATATTTAGCATTAATACACTCTAAAAAAGTTGCAGCGTTAAAGGTACAATATGTAAGAATTTAGTATCGAAATATTAAAAAAAACACTTGCACAGTGTTATATATTTCTTTCAATTATGTACTTACATTATCCTAAATGTTTCCAAGAATTTGTAAATTCAGAGAAATTCTAATTTTTAAATAGTGCCCGTCCCTTGCCACTTGTCGCAATATTCGTGTTATCCCTGGTTTCCGCCTGTACTGCCATAGTAACCATGGCGACTGACGTGGACAACTGCGTAATGTTTAGCGGCCGGCACGCTGTTGTTGTTTCGTTCAAACATTATGGATCATGGCAAGCGGACTTAGGGACAAAAGAAGAACTAAAACGAGGATCAATATCGGCGTGGCGTTTTCGAGATGCCGAGAGCTTCGTGGCAAACCTCGATTTGACAGCGCAGCTCTTGCATGTACTTTATTAGACAAGTGAGCAAATGTACATAAAACAAATCAATGTTATATAGCTCAACATGATTAAATGTTAGAATATGATCAGTATGTTATTCTAATGTTGATCTAGCTTACTGCTAGTCTCATATAGCCAACAAACTAACACATAGAATAACTTTCAACACACTCAAATGCTGTTTAGTGTGATAATGTAACGTTAGACCAAGTGAAACAGCACTGCGTTACCTCACAAGTTTAATTCGTCAAATAAAATGACCTGTATGAGTAGTAATACAGCACTTGCGGGTAGTTCGGTAGAATTAAATGTCCTCATTCCTTTATATCCGCGGGACTCGCGTGTGGCGCTGATATCTGTCTCATTAGCAATCGCGCCCTGCTTCATACCACAGTCATGTTAAACATGAATGTTTTTACTCATCCATAAACATTACTAGATACATCGGCATGACGACAAGTCCCATGATTCCGCTTATCACTGCGTCATCAATCTACTCCTTTGTAATTTTAAGAGGTTAGCGACTCCTAGCGGTGAAAAAATTACTTATTGTAGCTTTAAATGTTTAAGTACAATTATCTTGGATGTTTAAGTCATTTCAACTTAAATTACATTAAACTGACTTTAAACGAATTGAATCTTGTATAACTTGTCAAAAATAAAGTTGAAAATTGCTTAAAGCAATGTTGTCATACTTTATTAATCATATAATTTGTTTACAGTGTAAACATAAAATGTTCTTTTTTTGTGTAAAATCAAATTGATGGAACTGTCAAAATAGCAGAATCTCAATGAAATGTCCTGCGTTGTGAAAAATTAGTCAGTTTAAAACTATATAAATTATAATTATTGTGCATGTCGTTTTCTTGAGCTGATATGGAGACTATTTTTCAAAGTTTAGACCCAAGAATAGCAAGCAGGATTTCCTTTCAAAGTGGTACAGCATGCAGTCAACCGGGTTCTCTTCTTACTAGGGCGTTTGCCTAAAAAATGGCCGTAAAAAGCATTATAATCTGTACAAAAGATTTTTGAAGATGTTTAATCTCACAGATCCAAATCTTTTTGAAAGGAGGTGGTTATTTGACCTTTGGGGTCTACTGTATCTACAAACGATTTCCAGCTCATCCAAGACTATTGTTTTTTCACAACTTGTTTGCTCTTACATTACACCAATGTACTAATTTAGCACTATGAAAATTGCATAACTATCATTGAGTTGTATTTGTATCTCTTTTCCCAAAGAGTAGGCTTACTTTTCTCACATCAAGTGCAAATCTTCCTTATCACTCCAGTCTGTACCACACAGAATATGCCACTTTTAGACCACATGTGCTAATAAGTCCCAATCCCATTTAGAAGGCTTAAAACAAGAAAAGCCCTCAGAGATCAAGTGCAAAACAGGAAAATACCCTAGATCTAAATACAGCCCAGTGTTTTTTTTGTCTTAGGCTAACCGTAAGCTTCTTTTTTTGTTTACTGGAAACACTTAAGAGGCAGAGAAGAAAGTTGATCTACTTGATATTTCATTAAAAAAACATAACAATAATAATGCAGTCTTATATTCCTCAATTTGCTTAAGGTAAATTGTTTTTGTTTGATATTTTTTATATTTATTTTGTAATTTGCTTATTTGTAAATTCGTTTTGTCTGTCATATAGCAAAGATCAATATTAAGGGAAAGCAATTCAAACCATTTATTAAAAACGTCTTTTAATTAGTCAAAACTGATATTTTTAGTCATGCAAAAGCCATGTAACCACTAGTAACTTTTGCCATATCATGAAATGTTCATGTTTGTCTCCACCTAGAGATCATATGATGTACTGCAAATGATTGTGCACTGATCACGATTTGCTGTCTAAATAGGCCACTTGAACATGTTCATTTAACACTGTACAAAAAGTTGCTGCCTTAAATTTTGAAGTACAATCAACTTGGATGTTTAAGTCATTTCGACTTAAATTACATTACACTGACTTAAAAAAATTAGTTGAATCTTGTATAACATAAAAAGGTTGAAAATTGCTTAACTTATTTTGATGAGTTAAAGCAATGTAAAAACATATTTTGTCATAACTTATTGATCATATTATATTTTTTTACAGTGTACAAACAATACTGACAATTTGCCCAAATATCAATCAAGATACATTTTGTGTGCATGTTCAATTAACATTTTTTCATAATTAAAAAAAATAACTAAAACACACTTTACAGAGAATAAACACAGCTCTTGGCCATGAATTGCTAAAACAACAGATAATAAATGTTAAAAATACATTGCATACATGTTAACACTAGGGTAAAGTTGAATTTCTTGTAACAATTTGTGTAGTAACATTCTTTCTGACCTTTGTTGTACAGTTACTGAATAAACTACAATTGTAGTATTATATTAAATCATCTTTATATAAAAAGTACAATAGAGGCAAAATGTTATTCACTTATCTATAAGCATGGTGTAAGGTCAGGATATTCCGTTTGACAAATATATATATTATATATATATTTTTTTTTTCTTTGAATCTCCATGTCCAAATCTGTAAGGCACAAAAAATTGAGTCTTTCAAATGTAAAAAATAGAAATTAGAAATAAAACGTCAGCAGCATCACTGTCAAAAAGTCAGGGCCCTCTGTGAACACGAAGTGTAGGCCTATATATTTTCCTGCTGAGGTTTCGGGCCAAGCGATCCACGGCATTGCCAATTCCGCTCATATCCTTTTGATTTGGCATACCCTCAATGTTGCCACTATACCACATGACCCAACCACCAAGTGACATCAGTACCAAGACAGCCCCAGTGTAGACAAGAAGGTCCCCGAAATCTCTCCCCTTCATGTTCAGTGGCACAAACAGCCCCATAAACAGGGCCGTAAATCCAAAAAGGTCGAAAATAACAGCAAAGCCCAGGGCCACTTTGCAGTGTTTGAGACCGACATGTGCCATGGGAACTGTTGGAGACAAATATACAAAAATATATATTGTTGTAACATATAAATTAAGGCATTTATAAACAAAATGTAATAATATATAATAACAGTGTAAAACTGCACACTGCAAATAATAAAAGGATGACAAGCTGATTAAACAGAGCTACTAAGCAAAATGAAGCCAGATACACACAAGTTGTGTAGGCTATCTGGCTTAATTTTGCTTATGTCATCCTAAGTTATGTCCACTTGATGTCCAGTCGTGTAAAATCTAGATCCTCAACCCAGTCTAAACTATTAACTTTAAAGCGACCAACATAACATAGGCTACCTGCAACAACTTTCGTCCATATTTTTTTATGTTCCCAGAAAAACCACGTGTGATCAACACTCATAAACAATAGACAGTCGTATACTCACAAACAGAAGACGTGCATCGACCATTATTCAATAAACTGACCTTAATTCTCGGTATCTTCACTTCACGAATATGAAATATTTCATTTTCTTTTCAGGTGTGTATGAGTCAGGTATGGAGTAGGCTACCTGTGTGAAGCTGCTTCCGGACCCTCCCAGCCAGGCTTGTTGATATTTGACACCACCGGAATCGGCCATTTCAAACAAGTTAAACAGTTATTACGCTGTCATCACATCAACGACTTCTTACACTGTTTGATTGAGATCCCCTTTTTGTGTATTATAAATTTACAGTAAATAACAATAATTGGGGGAACTATGTTAACATGGTTATAGGCGCTCTGGACTGCAGAAACATACAATAGCCTATAAGTAGCTACAGTAGACTACAACTTCTCTTGTAGCTACATTTGGTGCGTTCAAGTCCTCCTGGGAAGTTCGTATTTACGAGTTGGGAAGTCGTGTTTACGACGTCAGGTGCGTTCAAGTACGGTGTACCGTTCAATAATATAATATTATGTTGTTATAATATTACAATGCTATTATATTGTGTGTGCAGGCAGGGAATCAGCTTATTTTATTATGTAGATAAAAAAGCATGACAATGTGACTGCTAGCCTATACCTATAAATATTGTGGTACTTCGCCAGGTTTCTCACTGACACGCCCATAGCCTAGGCCTAGCAGCTACTTGTAAAGATCGGGGTTTATTGAAAATCCCGAGCGAGCTTCCCACTAACAACTTTGTTGTGGCGTTCATGTGCGTTAAACTCATAAAATTACGATCTTTTCGACACAATTTGAACGCACAAATTTATCATATTCGCAAGATTACAGGAATCAAAAGTAAACAACCAAAACTCTTTATTTTTTGCATTAAAAAGGCATGATGTTTGAATCCCATAATTCGCTACATTAATTAAAATACTACATAGTTTAAATTATAGGGGGCATAATTAAGGTAACATGTGCTACATTTGCATATATGCTATTAAAAATAAAAATAAAAAAGTCGGATCTGCCGTGTGCGTATGCGCGCCGCGTAATATGGTTTTTAAGTGATCCGGATAATCTCGCTCCACAGACAATGGTTCAGTCAGTCAATCCTTATGATGCAGCGATCAACACAGACGCACAACAACAAAAAAGAGCCAATCAACAGGCGGACGCTTCAATCCCGTCTGCGGCTTAGCGAGGTCCTTGAAGTTGCATATTTGTAAATACACAAGTTTATTAACCCTCACATGCGCTTAATGTATCTTGCAATTTATTGGAACTAATTATGCGAATGAATATATCCAAAGCTAATTTAAATATACTTGCATGCCTTTTATTAGCAGAAACATGTAATGTATGAAACGATCATCCGTTGCCCTGTTTGACAGAACGAGAGAGACACAAGCAAATTAACTACTGTTTAATTAACTACTTGTTAATGGTAATGCCTAATTAACTACTTAGTCATCCTTGGTTGTTATTAATTGCAGCACGCCCTGTGCTGTGTCATGCATTTCTGCTCTTTAGAAAGTTTAGTATCGGTTTTTGTGAGCTTTTGGATTCGTGTTTTTGAGAGAGTTTATGTTTGGTTGTAGTTTTGCGAATGTATCAGCCAGATCCATGTCACCTGAATCATGACTGAGGCACAGAGAAGCACGGAGAACTGCAGAGGTCAGACTTAATTAGTTTAAAAAAGCTTTTAAACGGGATAAAATCCTTTTTCTTTTGGCAAATCCAGTTTGAAATGGTTTATGACGACTTTGGGACGTGGAGCTGGTTTATTCTAGCTAGTCTATTAGCTGGTTGTCTTGCCACCATGTTTCACACACGTGTTTAACAAACTAATAAGCAATTTATTGCTGTTTTAACCCTCTAAACCCTGACATAAAAAAAATAATAGACTGAAAACTCTAGTTTGCATATGTGTTTTGTATTATACTTGATATAGTGAGAATATGGAGCTTGCATTCAATGAGTGAAAAAACACCCAAATTGTATTCAAAGACACTAAAAATGTGCAGTTGCTTTTATTTATATAATCAAAAAAGTCAATTGAAATTATGTTGGCATCTAATGTAAGTCAATAGGCTCTTTATAACAGTTTAGCAGACGGTACATATGTAAAATAAATATTCCTCAATCATATTTCATAGTTAAATTTTAACATAATTTTACTCAAATTATGCATGGATAATCAAGGAAAACTAAGTTACTTCAGTCCAGTAAATGTTCATCTAACTTACTAACAATATAAAAGTTATTCCTCTGTTTAATCAGTTAAGATTTCACAGCAAAAGGTGGACATTTTTAGAATTATACTAAAAAGCCTTTCACTTGCTAAAAGTATGCATTATCAATTAGAGGTCAGAAGGCATGTAGTAGATTGTTTAAAAAACAAAATAGGATACTGTAGGATTTATAGGGTTAAGATTGGAGCGAGCAGCAAATAGCCAGTTTGGACCAGATACCATCCATTTTGATTAATAAGGTCCTATTTGTCTTGATCCTGTTTAAAGGTTTGAAGAACGAAGATGGGTATGAAATCTCCATCCCCTGTGAGGACAACACCCTGGACGAGTCTGGTTTCTATAATCAAAGTGACCACACCTTCGATGGTATTTACTTCATCCGTGTTGTGACAGAGTAACATGATGTTTGATTATCACAATTGAGCTCTACACTTTATTATGTTCTACAAATCAATGCTTCTGTAGAGTCGGCCTCAGGTCAGGTTCCTCCTTGCAGTCCGTACCTTCTGATTACCAGCCTCAGAGCACAACTGCAGATTTCTCTGGAAAAGAACTCCTGGCTCCAAAAACGCATCGAAGATCTGGAGGAGGAGAGGGACTTCCTGCGCTGCCAACTTGACAGATTCATTTTCAACACCAAGAGTCAGGAGAGCAATGGCTCAATGGGGAAAGGTAGTTTTAAATTGTACTTGTGCAAAGTGGTGTCTTGTAATGTAATAATCCTGTTTTATGATTTAGTGTTATCTTTATTCTAATCTGTTATGTAAGAAACTGAAGCAGAGGCCCTGCAGCAGCACACCAGTCAGAGGCAGCCCACCAATCTGAAGCCCTCTTCCCGGAAAACACCCACTCCTTCATCACCCATGATGACACGCTCTGGAAAAATCCCTGCACGCAACCAAAAGCGCAGCAGAAAACACAGCTAATTAGCTTTTACTACTACTTTCCCCCTCCTCAATTAAAATTAAAAATCTATTTTGATCTCACTGTTGCTTTATGCTTCTGTAACAGTGTTATTTTAGTATAATTTATATACTATTATAGTTTTTTTCATATTTTGAAATTGATTTTATTTTGTATATTTTCTGTTTTCAATTTAATTTGAAAGTTTTAGTAGTTTTGTGTTTTTGTAATTAAAAAAAAAATTATTAAGTTTTTATTTCAGTTTATTTGATTTTTAGTTATTTTAGTACTTCAACTGAAACTAAATGAAAATGAGAAATGTTGCTTTGGCAACTAGCTGGAATCTATGGAGCCCCTAAAGGGACATGGTGAAGGGGAAAAAAATGAGACTGGAGGAACAATTATTTCTTGCAAATGTTGTGCGTTCCCCCAAGAAAATGTGCTTTTGCTTGCAACATTTTTACGTTCCCTTGAAAAACTTTGCGTTTGACCACAAACAACACAAACGTTTTTCGAGAGTTTCTCAGGGGAACGGTAAAGTTTTGTGAGGGAATGCAAAAGCATTGAAATATACATTTTTTCCTCCCATCACATATTTTTTCCATTACCATGCCACCATTTTCTTTGTAGAAATTAAATAAGTTGAAGGTTTTTTTTTATATATTTTATTTTAGTTCGTTTATTTTATTTTTGAAGTCATGAAAATGTTTTTTTTAATGGTTTTAGTTTTAAAGATATTTGCCCTGATCTGTAATGATAAATTTGATTTAAATTCGATAAATAAATTAGAAAATTGTGTATATATATATATATATATATATATATATATATATATATATATTTATATATATATAAATAACTTTTTTGTTGTTCACCTCAGATCAAGAAGCAGAGGAGGTGATTGAAGAGGAAGAGTATATAGCGGAGGAAGATTATGTGGAGGAGCAGGTTGTTACAGATGATGATGGTGAAGATTCAGATAAAAGCTTACAAAAGAACCGTTCAGGCAGGCTGAATGGCCAGACGAGAGTGAAAAGACGACGCGTTTTTCGCTTTGCGCGAAGCATGGAAAGACAAAGAGGTAAGAAAGTCTCTATATTCTTCAAAGCAACTCTCTATATTTCCAAACCGAAGTTTGATAATTATGGCAACTTTGTTTGCAGTCAAAGACCCTGCAGGTGTTCTGCTTCGCTACAATAAGATCCTTGTGACTTATCAGAAGTTAAAGAGCATGTCTAGAGCATTCCAGGTCCATGGGGTTGACCGAAACACAGTGGCCTCCACCACTCCTATAGCTGAAATGCTTTTGGTCGCTCCTGAGAAGGTATCTGAGGTTGGGGAGTTTGATTCGTCCAAAGAGAAGCTTCTGGATTATGCAAGGCGCTGCTATAAAGCTCTTGATGAGGACGCTCACGCTAAGGTGCAGGCCTTGAAGAAGAACAACTTCTTGCTGCCCATTTCATACAGGTTCAGACACTGAATATTCGCTCTCTCTCTCTCTGTGTCTTCCCATCTCTTCCCTACCATCTACACATTTGGAACGAAAAACCCAACTCTGTCCCAGTTAATGTTGGTAATTATTCAGTTAAAGTGTGTAGACTGAAAGAATTGCATGTTGAGTAAGCATTTGGACCAATAATGTACAGTTTTGAAAGTTTTGGGTAAAAACAAAAGGGAGAAGAACATTTGTGAGGTAATTAGTCAGCCACCGTATATAAAAGGTTGTCTGTCTTTATTTTGTTTTTATGTTTGAAAATCTCACCCCTTAAATGTAAAGGACTTGTCTTGTTTGAGTTTATAAGTTGGGGATCACATAAGGTACCTCTTCTCTTTAATATCCTGACCCTTGTGATCACATTTGGACAATATGAGTCAGGCTAAATATTATTGAATACAAATAAAGTTCTCAGCTTGCAACCATCTAAAAAAAAAAGAAAAGAAACAGAAAAGAAAAAATTTGCGTTCCTAAATCATCTTCATTCTTTCTTTCTTAACATTTTTACTTACTAATACGTTTTGCTATCAAATGATAAAGGAACACATTATTCTTTAAAAAAAACCAGAATAGTAGCTATGCTGTGTTCAACATCTGTTAATCATTGAAATCACTTGGGTAGAGGTGTATTGATGCCTTATTAAAATCAGTACAAATTGTTTTTGTAATTGACAAAAGGGGAAAGTTAATTATGTATACGTGGTATTTGATATCAGAGACATTGTTTACATTTGTGCAATTTTGTACACTTTTGGGTGCCAATGTGACTCAGGAGATTATAAAGCAAACCATAAATGTCAAAGATTGTTTATTGATTTAAAATATAATTTATGAGAAAAGGCTTGTTCATTACTCTAACTAGTTCATAACCCTCCTTTGTTGTGCCTGTATAATATTAAAGCAAATGCTAAAACAGTGTTTATATTTTGCAACATCCGTTTAATGGCTTAAATGGCGTTTTGTTGTGATTATCTATTATTTTTTTTCTTTTGTATTATGACTTCTTTTCAAAACTGTACCCTGCTGTTATTAAACATCTCCAATATTGTATGAAAGAGCGCATCTTTCATTTATTTACAGCGAGAAATCCCCTTCACTCTTTTTAAAGAGAAAATTGCACGTCTAATCTCAGATAATCAAAGCTAAACTGCAAAGTGGAAGATTGGAGGTTGGAGGATTAAAAAAGTGGATGAAAATGGGGGAAAAAACTTTTACTCCTGGTCAATAGGGGCGCACAGCTTCATTTCCCTTATTCAGAGTGACTTTTGGGGCTGTGAAGAAACGATCAGCATCCGCCAACGCGGAATGAGCGGTTAGCTTCCTCAGCCGAGACGGGTTAGACTTCAACACAGTTAATAATGACAACTTACAGCATTTGACTATCAAAGAGACTATCTAAAAGAGCAAATATTACTAGCTAAGGGGTTTAATCATCTGTATTGCCGACGCGAGCCTTTCATTTTCACCCTGCGGTGGTTCGAGTTAGCATTAGCAGCTAACAAACCTCTAAAGCAAAGCGTGTATTTCTCTCCACGAATTTAAGTGCATTTTTGGAAACTATATATGCTGGTGTAACATTTTAAAACATCTGCATTTTTATAGTCCGTCCCTTGAAATTGCGTGTGACAAAGAGAGCGCTATTTAAAAGCGAAAGAGCGTGTTAACTGAAGTTTCAGAGTCTGGGTTAGATCAAAACACCAGGATGTCTGATTTTGATGAATTCGAGAGACAGCTATCTGAAAACAAACAAGGTGAGTATAAATGTGCACCACTGCCTGTCTTGAACGGTAATCACTTGCATAGCATCATATTTATTATCTTAATAACTAAACATATTGATGCATATTCATAAATAAACATATTCACTTGAATTTTTTTTAATGTTTTATAGAAGAAAATAGATCTAGAAAGCTGTAAATATGCATAAACATTTGATAATTGTTTATATTTACTCACATGATACGTGTTATTTATTTTATTCTGTATTTGGTGAAACAACTCCCTTTGTTTGTTTGGAAAAGTTCAATGTACTTAAAGTCAACATGAAATAAAATGTATGGAATACTGCAGTGTTATAAATGATTTATCCGTGCACACCATTCCTTTTTTTAAATTCGTGTGACCTTGTAATCTTTGATCAAATTAGCATCCCCCTCCCACTTGCAACGACATCGCTTTTCTGATGACGTGTGTACTGGTGCGAGGGCGGGACAACCTGTCACACGAGATCAAAGTAATAGCAAACCACACCTATCCAATCAATTCCCGATGGACAAAAAATCAAGTCCGGACCTAAACATTTTCATGTTTAAGAAGCCATTTCAGATGTCACAAATTAATAGGGAAGAAAAAACACTTGCAAGTTCCATTTCATGCCGATTTTAAGTCTTAATAATGTAGTACATGAATTTTAAAATAATAATAATAAAAAACCACACACACACACACCTCTACAATAACTCCTGAGAAAGTTTTATATTTGAAACCAACAGATATATTTGTGAAACCAACAAATATATTTGTGTGTAACCCTGGGCAAACTTGGGTCATTAAAACCTGTTAATTATTGACAATGAGTTTAATCCATGTGCATTAATTGTACACATTCAAGGTTGAGTCTTTTACTGTTTATTTTTAAGAGCGTTAACCTGTATTTATAATCTCTGTATGCAAATATGGTTAAGCAGGACCACAACTTTCACAAGCCAATCTGAGAGAATGACTCTGCTTAACCATATTTGCATACTAGAAATTATAAATACAGGTTGATGCTCTTAAAAATAAACAGTAACAAACTCAACAATGAATGTCTACAATTAAAATGCACATGGATTAAACTTATTGTCAATAATTAACAGGTTTTAATAACCCAAGTTTACCCATGGATATATATATATATATATAATAAAATAATACACACACATATATTGTAAACACTGACTTTTATGTTAGATGCGATTGATCGCGATTAATCAATTTTACAGCCCCACACACTGTATTCTGTTTGTAAGTAAAATTGAGTTGCAATAACTTTTGTTTTCCCTTTTTTAACCCCTCTCGTTTCTTCCGCACAGGTGACAGTCTAAACGGTCATGGTGGGTATCCAATAATGAGGTGCAGAAAAGCACACACAACCTGTCTCTTTCCTTTACCTCTAATCTTCCTTTTTCCCCTAGATACTCACTGTGAAACTCTACATAATAGTGTGTCAAATCTTTCATTCTGCAGCTGGAATGGGCTTTCTCTTCTTGTTCCTTCCTCTTTTCTTACTTTATGACTCGATCGGGAGTCACAAAATTTGGCTGATCTTACAAACCGATCAAAATTTGATGAATATGTCTCACTTAGCGACCAATCAGTAATCAAACTAGTAATCAATTTGCGACCAAATTATAAGTATTCATATGAAAGTCGCCGCCGATGCGCATGTGAACAGTATACAGATTAGGCTTTTGTGCCTTTTTTTTTTCTTTTCTTTTTTTTTTCTTTGTAAATTCGTGAAACAGTAGTAGTAAACCATAATTGCACATCTTTATTCAAATACATAACTTGATGCGTCATTCTTGATAAAATCCTCACCTGAGTGACTTATAGGCTAAAGCTATAGGACTTCCGTGATCCATTCGCATCGCCATCATGATGAAAGTTCAACCAATGGAAGCTGGATCTCGGGCACGGTGGGTGGGTATAGTGGGTAGAGACCAATCGGACACTGTTTTACAGCTGGAGCGCGCTTGGATTGGTTTAATTAACAGGCCTTGATTTATCATGCGCCATAGAATAGGAGCGCACAGCTAAAACTGCACTGGAAGATCATCAATCATCCACCAGGATCTCATTATTTGTTACTTTATGTAATTACAATTTTTTTTCATGCTTTATTTTGGCATTTACACATGTAAGTAGTAGGGCTGTCAAAATGGCTGAGAAGCTAAATACGAATTTCTTTCTTAAATATTAGCAGAATTCGTATTCTAAAGGCAATACTTAATGTTAGAGGAAAAAAGTACTGTATTGTCTTAAAGGGATAGTTCACCCAAAAATGAAAATTACCTCATGATTTACTCACGCTCAAGCCATCCTAGGTGTATATGACATTCTTTTTTCAGACGAATACAATCAGAGTTATATTAGAAAAATGTCCTGGCTCTTTCAAGCTTGATAATGGCAATGAATGGCCGTTTCTGTTTTGAACTCCATTAAAGTGCATCCACTCATCCATGATCCCCCAGGGCCGTGTGGAGAACCTTTATCATGGAACCTTCAAAACTGAAACGGCCATTCACTGCCATTATAAAGCTTGGAAGAGCCAGGATATTTTTTTTTTAATAAAAAAAATTGTATTCGTCTGAAAGAAGATTGTCATATACACCTAGGATGACTTGAGGGTGAGTAAATCATGAGCTAATTTTCATTTTTGGGTGAACTATCCCATAAAGCGATAAGCAAATCTACACCAAATCAAGCTTTGCATCTTTTATTGAAATGAAATACTCTGACCGATTCTCTCTGACTCCCGAGTCCTCATTCTCTTTTTCCACAAATTAACAACGCAGCCGCATCGCGCTGTACTGGATAAGTTAACAAAAATAAACCACGTCAGTTACATCATCATCATGTCTAGTGCGCCCTTTTGACACTCCAAAAATTTTAATGCACGGTTTTTGCATTCGAATGTGCATTTCTTTTCTTTTTTTCATTCTAAGAATATTCAAAATTTAGCCATAGTAAGTAGTTCTTATGTTCAGTAAAACACTCAGATCACTTGTTTGGAGAGGTTTTTGGATTTTTGATATCCAAATGCCAAAACTTTCAATTGCTTTGAGATATGAACAAAATTTGGCCCAGATGTAGTTGACAGGATTGTGAAAAGTCCAAACTTTTTTTAAATGGATAGTGGTTTGTGTAAGCCCTGTTTTTAAAGGCCTATTCAATGATAATTGTAAAAAGAATATTTGTTGTGGTTATTTATTTGATTCTCAATTAAAACAATATACAACATCACTGTAAACAATATAACCAAGGCAACATCTGTGGCATTACTTTTAGCTGAAAAAAAAAAAGTTTTAGAGAGTCAATAGAGAGCGTACATATCACTTATATAAAGCTTGAATGATCGGTATTGGCCGATCATGATGACAAGAAATGGGTTGTCGGTATCGGCTGCAAAAATCCTGTTAGGAGCATCCCTACTGGTTTGCTTCAGGAGCCTGTGGCTTTGTCTCATTTTTTGGGATGCTCATATTTTTCATTTCTTTCTTCTGTCTCAGAGCGGGACAAAGAGAACCGGCACCGGCGCCGCAGCCCTTCACGCAGCCGCAGTCGAGAGAGGAAGAGGAGGAGCAGAGAGAGAAGAAGCAGGGAACGCCGCAGCGACAGCAAGGACCGCCGCCATAGACGCAGGTGCGAGAGGGAATGTTGTGACATGACTGTCGTCATTGTTCAAGGCTCAACAATAAAGAGGGTGCAGAGTGAGAGCTTTGGGCCAGTTGATGTTCATGCATATTTAAATATCTGATTTTCTGCAATCTATTCTTATTGTTGAGCCCTGTTGTAATCGATGTTGCTATTACAATATGAGTCAATTCATGCCCTTTTAATTATGCTTGTTGATTTACGCAGTTTAAGCTGAATTTAAAACTGAAGTAGTCCGTTTTAAGTGCACTGTAATCAAGAATAAGGCAGGATGCACGGTAAAATCATTAGTCTTGCTCTTAAACCTCATTCAGTTTATGTATTGTGGTTAAAGGTACTGTAAAGTAGCTACATGTCAAACCCTGTTCTTAAATGTCTTTTCAGTGATCAAATTCAGAACCATCCCCAAGAAAACGTCAGGTAATACTGCAGATGGGCTGACTCAGTTTTTCCCATTTGTTTACATCTTACAAATCCATCTGGCTAGTGTTTTGACTTTGAAGGAGTTTGTTAGATGAATTAATTCTTATTTCTGCGTTAAAATCCTCGTCTTTATGTGTAGAGTTGTTACGCTAGGTAAAATATTTTGTAACAGTTACAGATTATTCTTATTTCAAAATTTTTTATTGTGATTTTAATTGTACTATTCTTTTGGATAATTTAACTAAATGACTTCGCTCTTTTAGATAATTAAATGAGTAATCATATTGTTGAATATGTAAAATACCAGTTAGATACAAATGAATTCACTTCGGGTTTTTTTCTTTTTCTCTGCCCTTCTGTAAATCAGCCGTTCACCTCAACGGGAGAAAAAGAAGAAAATTAAGAAGTACTGGGATGTACCGCCTCCTGGCTTTGAGCATATTACACCCATGCAGTACAAGGCAATGCAAGGTGAGCGACATGGCTTAAAAGACTACCCTGTGTCCAGTGTCTACTCATTATACTCACTAAGTAGGGGTGGGTGATATTCCGGTTGAAATGGTGCACAGAAATGTGTAGAAAATTTGATAGCCAAATCAATGACTGTTCAAATAAAAATGCTTAAATTCATTATTTGGCAGAAGGGTTTTTTAATATCTTTCCATAAAATTACTATATCATGCTGTACAGTAGTGGTCAAAAGTGATGTACAGAGGTGATATTTGTTTTTTATGGCCCTACAAGTTTGATTAAACGATTGAAATATGAGGAATATATATATATATATATATTTAAATAAATAAAAAAACACTAAACTTGGTTAAGGTATATATCTGACAAAACTATTTGTCAAAAAAGGCAAAACTACAGCTACAGGTTTTATTTTATGCATAGAAAAACAAAAAGCTCGCAGGAAAAAGCATATATTGATGACAAAATATAAAAAAATGTGTTGGTTCTCTTGTTTTTGCATGTTCATTATTTCTTTGACAGCCTGGCCAATTTGGCATGTTTCATTGCGTTATCACAAATAAAACAATTTGACTCCAAGCCCAGCTACGTAATATGATTACAAAATATTTTACAAATTTTTAATAAATAAAGGGTGAAAATGTCCTTTTTTCTTGGCTGTACATCACTTTTGGCCACTATATACTTTTGGTATAGTATCAACTAAATATTTTTACGATTTTTTGTTTTGTTTTTTTTGCTCATATTGTGCCCACCCTGATCAAGCGTTATTTATTCTCTCCCTCTCTTTCTTTGTCTGGCTTTAGTTTTTTTAATTTCTTTTGGTTCAGGCGTTCTACAGACATCTCCTGATAATAACAATGTTATTTAATAATTCATATTCTGTTGTTGATGCAATTATTCTGTCTTTCTCTTCCTCAGCTGCTGGTCAGATCCCTGCCACCGCTTTGCTGCCCACCATGACGCCAGACGGCCTGGCAGTAACGCCGACCCCGGTGCCCGTAGTGGGCAGTCAGATGACTCGCCAGGCCCGCAGACTTTACGTTGGCAATATCCCATTTGGCATCACAGAGGTGTTGAATGAACACTATTCACACACTAGAATTACTCTGCAGGGCTTTAGAGAACAATTCCACACAGAACACTGGCACAATTAGATGTATTCTGCAGAAACATATTGAATATTTAATTGTACATGCTTGTTTCCCCTATTTTCACATTTCTGAGAAACACTGTTGATCTGTAAAATCAACCCAAACAAACTCACCCCTCTCTTCATTGCTCTGCCGCCAAAATGCACGAACACACAATGCAAAAGTGGATCATAATTTATCATAGCTGAAGAGAAACAAAATAATGCTTCCCGGAAAAAAAACAGTGAAGATGACGAACAAACGACAAGGAAGAATAAAAAAAAAAAAAAAAAGTATTTACAAGCAAGAGTTGGTTGTTTGTCGCCAGCAGCTCCGGACAAACAATGACACTCAACATTGTCCTGTTACTATAGGTAACATTGCAACAACACCGTATCTTTGATCTGTGAAACATAATGTTAGAAGGCCGTTTTTCAGGCCTTCCCGCTTCGTTTTCTCCAGCGCTGGAAAGCTTTTCTAATATTAACACTGTTCCTAAAGCTCTTGCCTTATCATAACCCTTCTTTTTCCTCTAATAGTTCTCTGTGCTTTTATCTTTTGTTATGTCTCTCAGCCTTCTCTCTTTCTACAGTCTTTCTTCAAATCTCCCTCTTGGACACGACAGTGTGTTGTGGCGTTTGGTCCGATTCACTTTCAACAGCGTTTCTCAGAAATCACTTATTGCATCTTAAAAAACACAAATAAATTAATAACACTTTTAAATACAATCTTTAGCAAATCTTAGAATGAATCAAAAACAATTTCATACTGTATAATGCGCTGCCTAAATTTACTCGTGGCATTTAAAAGGAATTTTTTGTGCTATTTTTTTATTTAGAAAAAACATAAAAGTATACACTTAAATATCTGCCAATTTATAGGTTATTGTTCATAACATAAAAAATTATCTCCATCTTATTATCTGTCCATCCTTTTTTTTTTTTTAAATGCATGAATGTCTTTGCATTATGTAACACCCTTCTTCCTCAGGAATCCATGATGGACTTCTTCAATGCCCAGATGAGACTCGGCGGTCTGACTCAGGCCCCAGGAAACCCTGTTCTTGCCGTCCAGATTAACCAGGACAAGAACTTTGCTTTCCTTGAGGTGGGTAACACCTGTACACACTGACTTATCAGGGAACTACACTAACATTTTCCACTGGTGGCACTTGCGCTACTAACTTTTTCAGTTACTAGCGCAAAACATGATTTGGTCGCACAAATTATTTATATAGTAAGCCGCTCTGGATAATAATGACCAATAGTGAAACTGTATTGCATACAGATGTGCTTTTTATTTTACTCTCCATCTTTTAAAACACATGCCTTCTTGTTTTCTTTAAAAATGGTTGGGATAGATTTACTGCAATAGAAAATACAGTAGCCTACACAATAAAGTGCTAAATTAATTTCTTTTGGATTTCACTATGCTATGGTTGGCACAGATGGGCAGACTTCTGAACTCTTAAGGAAAAGTAAAATAAATATAATATGTCATTGTGAAGCTTCAATGATTCGTGTTTGAATTGTTTTGACGCAGTTACAAATTTGGACAGTCCTGCAATTGAAGGCCCACAGAATTTACAGTAGGGCTGCACGATATTGGTAAAAAAATGACATTGCGATATTTGATTTTTCTGCTATATATATTGCGATATAAAAACAATTTCACCAGATGACTTGAATAGCTCTACTTGGAAAGAATGAATCATTCTAGAATGACTCTTGAGTTCAGTGTTGGACAGATCAGTTGTTATTTTAACCATTCATTAAAGTGAATCGGTTCAAAGGAGTCAGTTCGCGAATCGGACGTGTCATTAACGGACCACGGCACACGTTGTGTGATTATCCAGGCAGTTTAGGACATCGCACAAGATTTGTCTCAACACAGAAAACATTTCATCACCAGATAGATTTTTTGTTTTGTTTATTGAAAGAGTGGTTTATGCCATCTGAATGTGTGGAAAGCTTTTCAGAGAAGATGAGGCAACGTTATTTTAGCACAATTCACAACCAGTGGTAGTTCAGAAAAAAAAAAACTTCGGTCTTCCGACCTTTTACCATCGTGTATTCTCAAAGATATTCAGTCAACTCAATTCATTATTATGAGCGAGGGAGGGAGAGAGAGCGCGCGCGCGACTGGGGCTTTCACTCTCTCTGCTCGTTCTCTCAGTTAAACAAGCGCGAATCCGCAAAGCCAACTTGATGTGTTGAATGCTCAGAGCGCGTTATAAAACGTATTCTTAAAATACACATTTCTGTTTTAATAAATGCTCATAGTAAATCATAGCATATTGCCTAAAACATTAGGTAGGTACAAAAATAATCAAACTGTGATACATTTGCGACCCATTAAAAATTAGGGTCGCAATGGCATTTCAAAAGGTCGCATATGCGACCATTTTGGTCGCAGTGTAGTTCCCTGCTTATATTGCCTCTGAATTGGCAAGCTTGGTTCTTTACAATTTTCCTCCCATTAATTCTTCAGTTCCGGTCAGTGGATGAGACCACACAGGCCATGGCGTTTGATGGCATCATCTTCCAGGGGCAGAGTTTAAAGATTCGCCGGCCACATGATTATCAGCCATTACCTGGCATGAGCGAGAACCCCAGCGTATATGTGCCGGGTATGACCACTTTACAGTTTGCTCTTTGCTCAGAGATATCAAACTACAACAAACGTGACATGTTCCTTTTGTACTTTTGATTAAAAATGCTGATTTCAGCATTACATTCTCAGTTTTCAGGTGAATGTATTTTGTTTAAACCTAAGAAAATGAGTCTGTTACAACCTTATGATTGTAGTCTATCGGTCTATTATTCTCTTCCTTTTCTTCTGCCAGTCAATTGACTGTTAATGAACGTTTTCCATGTGCTCCACAGGTGTGGTGTCCACTGTTGTACCAGACTCTATTCACAAGCTTTTCATTGGAGGTTTGCCCAACTATCTCAATGACGACCAGGTTGGTTACAAATGGCTTCTGGTAGAAAGTCTATATAACTCATATAAGAGCCTCATGTGCCATGAAAACATACTGCTTCCTTTTACTGGAACTAACAAAAAAGAACATTTATTGAAACTAAACTGCACAAAATAATGAGAAAGTCAAAGTGAAATAATGAGCTAGTAGGACAGATTGTATTATTCATAAACACTATAACGGCTAACAATAATATATTGTAAGGTTTGCCCAGCTTTGTGCTTGTCTTGGCTGCATGTGGCTCTTCATTCTCTGCATATCCTTCCCAACATGAGAAATGAGCAGTTGAAGTTGATTTTTTTAAAAGGTCCTTGATTATTTCTATTTCAGGACAGATTGTTTGAACACCAGGTAATATATGCATATTTGACACACGAGCAAACTCACAGCAAAAAAGGTGGAAATTGGTCAGGGAATAGCTGAAATGTTTTTGGCACAAAAAACTTTAATAACATTATGAGTGGATCTCGGGGGAAATTAAAGTCCCCCTGTAGTCAATAATTTGATCCATTAAAACTCATTTTTGATCACCAAAATTACACATTTAAAAGTTTTTTTCCTTGAAAAAAAGTCTTCATGCCTTAGAATAGCTTGAATGTAACTCTACACCCTTGCCTCATTTATTATATGCACTTCTATGCAAATGCAAATTAGCCCCGCCTTTACTCACTCACACCTACTTAGAGATCCACTCGTTGACGATCACACGTTGTCGTGATTGGTTACAAGGTAGTTTGTGACGTCAGAAACACCAGTGATTTCATACCGCATTTGAGACTGTCTTTGGTTCACTGCGGTTTTAAAGAGAAAATACTCAGCAATTTTGTTGACTTATGAATTTGCACATGATTTGTCTTAAAGCATATTAAAAACACCACATAGGCATATAAACAACATTTAAAAACTAGATTTTTACCACAGGGGGACTTTAAATGTTTAAAATGTAATGTTTTTATTTGTTTGTTTGTTTTTACCTTTTTCCTGCTTATGTTAGATGTAATGTAAATCCTGAATTTCTTTCTTCGTGTATTCAGGTTAAAGAGTTGTTAACCTCTTTTGGACCTCTCAAAGCCTTCAATTTGGTTAAGGACAGCGCTACCGGCCTCTCAAAGGGCTATGCTTTCTGTGAATATGTGGATGTTAACATCAATGATCAGGTGAGTTGGCATGGTTAGTGTTTCACTGTGTCCAATGGTTTAAACACATTTAGCCCATGTACTAAGATTAAGTTAATCTGTTAATGTTTCTTCCAGGCTATTGCAGGATTGAATGGTATGCAGTTAGCAGATAAGAAGCTGCTGGTTCAGAGGGCAAGTGTAGGGGCCAAGAATGCCACAATGGTAAGAATCAAGTTTAACATGAAATTCACTCATTTGAAGACATTTCATACAAACAAAATTTGTTTGGTTATAACATTGTGTATTTTGTCTTGTTACACTACTGTACAAAAGTTTGGGTTTGGTTAAATTTGTAATATTTTTATGTTTTTTTTAAGTCTCTTATGCGCACCAAAAATGCATACATTTGACCAAAGATACAGTAATATTGTGAAATATTCTTTATTTTATATTCTAAGTATTCTAATTTTAAATGGCCTGTTTTCTATTTCAAATCGTAATCAATTCCTGTGATCAAAGCTGAATTTCCAGCATCATTACTCAAGTTTCAGGTTTCACATAATCCTTCAGAAATTATTTTAATGAGCTGATTTGCTACTCAATAAACATTTACGGCATTATCAATGTTGAAAACAGTAGTGCTGCTTAATATTTTTGTGGAAACTGTGATACATTTATTTTTTTATGAATAGATAGTTCAAAAGAACAGCATTTATTTGAGAGAGAATTTGTTTTTAACATTATAAAAATGTCTTTACTGTCACTTTTGATTAATGCAACCTTTCTGAATAGACGTATTACTTTTCTTCAAAAAATAAAATAATAAAAACAAATGAATAAAATCTGACCCCAAACATTTGAATGGAAGTGCAAATGTTCTTGGTCTCATCTGTGCATGTTCCAAACAAAAAAAGTCTTTCAAAATGTATGCAGCACTGATGCACAAGTTTGTTATTTTAAATAGGATAAATTGATTCTCAAGCCGTCTTTTATTTTTCTGTAGACGAGTATAAATGAGACTCCGGTGACGTTGCAAGTACCGGGGATGATGGCAAACTCCATGATGCAGATGGGCGGCATCCCTACCGAGGTCCTGTGCCTGATGAACATGGTGGCTCCAGAGGAGCTCCTGGACGACGAGGAGTACGAGGAGATAGTGGAGGACGTCAAGGAGGAGTGCTCCAAATATGGCCAGGTCAAGAGCATAGAGATTCCTCGGCCTGTTGATGGCCTTGATATCCCTGGAACCGGCAAGGTAAGCCTTACCAAACCAGCTCAAGTGATGCATGGGGACCATGGGCTTGGGCTGTTTTTCAGTCCTTTTACGTAGGTGCTGATTAAAGCATTTCGACTCTGAACCCTCCAGCAATGAACATCTGGTAGTGCTACACAAACCATCCCACAATCTGTTTTATTTTTCCAGATCTTTGTGGAGTTCACATCTGTCTACGACTCCCAGAAAGCCATGCAGGGCTTAACGGGGAGAAAGTTCGCCAACAGAGTGGTGGTGACCAAGTACTGCGATCCAGATGCCTACCACCGCCGGGACTTCTGGTAGAGGAAGAGAGCGAGGAGAAATGGGATGGAGTCCAGCTTTGTGATAACAACTCGTATAAAAAGAGAGAGAAATTGAGGCAGAGATGACGGGGGAACATTTTTTTTTTGTTTATGCTTAAAAAAGCCAAAAGGTGAATGTTGTGTTTTTTGTTTTTTTTGAGGCTTAAATTAAAAGATGATTTGTGAGCAATTATGGGAGGGTTTCTGCTTTTGTTTGTATTTTAAGATTATTAGCGGGAGATATTCTGTTATACTGATTATACTTATTCTGTTAATAAAATTGTTACTATTTTTTAATTGTACACTGAAACAAATGATGTAAAATCGTGATTGTTGACCATCAGAGAAGATGAAAGAACTATTGATACCCAACCAAATGCGGAGATTTGCTCATAATTGCTGGGTAATTCAAATGAAGACGTCATCTTTCGGTCCCTTACCTTGTTTTTATCTCTTTTTATTCCTCGTTTGAATTGTATCCCTTCTCAGAAGTCACTTGTCTTCTCTGTTGGCCAGCTCACCACATCTCCCTCCCATTTTGTAGCTTTTTGCAGTTCATATCTCCAGGTATTAGATCTTGTTTTTGTCTGTTTTGTTCTTACACTTACTGGGTCTCTTCCATACATATCACCAAACGATTAGATGGTGATGACATTTGTCCAATGTGGCACCTTTTCTGTTTCTGTACGTGTGATGTCTTTTTTTTTCTCTCAGTATAATAGGCCACTTTTGATAATAAAACTCTTGGAAGTATGATCCGTTGTCAATCTGTCCGTCTGGTTGTCAATTGGTTTGAAAGACTCTGCATGCTTCTCTGTTAAGAAGCAATATGTAGCATTTTTGTACTTTGTGGCTGATCAGGTGGCTATTCTCTAGACAAAACTGGTATTTTCTTTCTCTTCAGGGCTGAATATACATCTTTATTCCCTCTGCACATCTAGATTATCTCGGCACAATATTATTTTGAATATTTTTGTTGCTTATTGCTTCTTACATATTACTGCACAACTATCAGGCTTGTATATCTACTGATTTATTAAAATAGTACTAGGAACATCTTTAGTGCTACAAACACTAATACCTGAAATCAGTAGATTTAAAATGATACATTCATGTGCCGCAAGTGTCTATAATCAACGACAGATTTCCGAATGTTTCCCATTTAAGGATTATTTAGTGTCAAGTTCATTTGTTTGTGAAGGTCATTTCTTCATTATTCTCTTTTAGCTTTTGTTACAGGAGATCAGATTGAACTGGGATGTATTGCGATGCCGTGGATGAACTGATAGTTGTGTTGAACTGGTTTTATGAGGTCTTTGTCAATCCAAACCAAAGTTAATCACTTATTTCTCCCTCTCTTTCTCTGTCAAATTAAAGACTGTCACTGCCGTGCAGCAACATGCTGCAAACACTTTTCTATTGGTGTGTTCGATTAAAACCAGTTTTTATGCTGTTGTCTAGTTCAAATCTAGCCTAATCATGTTCATTGTGGTGTGAACATCGAGATGTGTGGTAACAAACACTGTAAGACTCATGGTTGATAGAAAAACGAATAGGCCTGTTGTGTGTTTTCATGTCGACTCGGTCAGTTCGTAATGTGTTTCCATCTCATTCTCTGTTCATTGGATACTTTTGGTAATGTCTTGATTTTCTTATGTAAACAGTAGTAAAATGCTTTTACAACAATCAACAGTCTTTTAATGGAATGGTTTTTGAAGATGCTTTTTTCTTATGCATTTAAAAAAAAAAAACAGCATCTGATTTTAGAAAGAGCATAAATCATTGGCAAATGAAAGTGCACTGGATTGTCCATATAAATATCACTTAAAACAGTTTTTTTTATTGGTTTGTCTTATTTTATCCCCAATAATACTCTTTCAAGAACTTGAAGAGAGTTTTTTTTATTATTATTTATATACTAACATGGTATTTATTAATATTTTGAGTATTTCTTAAAAAATGTATACTAATTTCAGGTTTCATTCTTTTAATTTCCATATTTAATATATAAACATATATTTATATATAGCTTTTATTTTTTATTTCCCTCGTAGAAGACATATTGTGTCTTAAAGGGACCTTGTTAAATAAAATTTTAAAAGATGTTAAAATAAAAACAAAATCATTTCAAACCATCTTTACAGTCTTGATTTATGCGTTGTAGCAACAAGAGTAAAATGCTTAATCAAAGGTCTAAAAGATGAAGGCTTATGTTTAGAAATTATTTTGCAGGTTTTGGTCTCATGAGCTTTCATATCCCAAACCCCATCTGTTTCCCAAGCAAGCTGTTTGTTTGACAAGGATAACTGCATTGATGGTGAGAAGCATCTTAGATTAAAACTTGCTGTGAATGAAGAAACTACTGCTTTTGTCAGAAACTTCCTACTTTTGTACAAAATAGTAATTACATAGTAAGTCGGACAATTTAAAGACATCCCGGTACACCTTTAACCTCTCCATTTACACCAACCATCACTCGCTGTGCACGGAAGCTGTCAAGCACTGCGAGAAGATAGACAGCTACTCTTACCCAATGAGAGATGAGAACGGATGGCCGGCACCCAATGGCGATTAAGTGGGCGGGACCACAAGCCTCCAGCACACAAGCGGAGGAGGTGTTCCTGGCGGCCATCTTTGATGCGAGAAGTGATTGTTTGGCGAATAGAAATAATAGGAAATAAAAATATAGCGTGAAAAGTTGTGGAATTGTGGCGGAACTGAAGGGGATATTAAGAGGGAAAGTAAAACTCAGGAAAATCAGGTAAAACATCCCCACAACTTGGGAGCGTAACTCCAATAACATGCTGCTTTTTTCCTTTCCAATTTGTATCGCAGCCAAAAAAAAAACAAAAAAAAAAACCTCGAGCCGGTCGCGTTTACTACAGGCTCGCGAGCTGCTTGCTGGAATTGAGCTTACTAACTCATCTAAAGTGTTAAAATTATCGCATCAGTGTCTCGTCACGTACAAAAAAAAGTAGTGGATACGAATGAAGTGAGCCTTTAAAAGAAGCCACATGCATGCAAAGACAGTGGCAGTCTCTGGTTTCATATTGCTGAAATATTATTTAGTACCGTTTAAAACCGAGCTTGCTCCAAATGAGCTGTTATCACCTGGACTGTGAGATCTGGGGTTTTAGGTTTACTTTAAACTGTTAACATATCCGATGGAGGATCAGCTCGAGAACTACCAGCTGTTGTGTTTGCTCGCGCTACATTGTTGCGAGAACTCAATGGACCCGCGCGACTGTGTCAGAGAATTTTGATTGACATGCAGCTGTCATCCACTCGGTTTATATTATATATGATGATAAGAAATGCTGCTGAAAGAATGTCACGTTTCTATACAATATTAGGTTTCTGCTTCAGTCACACTTTAACTAACTAGTCATTATGGAAGTGCATGGATGGATGAAATGTCTTTCTTCATTGTGGCATATGAAGCTGATGCATATTGCTCAGCTGTGTTTGGACGGTGATCACTTTAGTTTAGAAATCTGCCTGATAAAATGAATGCTTCATTTTGATTTCTGCTGTTTCATCATTCAATTTGGCATATTTTTCCTGTCACTGTTGTCTACACCTTTCAAGTTTGTGAATTGGATGTTTTTACTGACCATGACCCAAAGCAGGATAAAGTAACCATTAAATCAAAATTGACCATTATTTTATTTTAACTGAGATATTGCAGTAGCCTGTTTGTTATAAATTATTTATCTGTGCACATCATTATTAGTATTTTTTTTTTTATTAATGTGCCCTCAACTTCCCGTCCCTCTTATAACAATGTATCTTCTCTGATGAAGTGTTTACTGGTGTGAGAGTGGGACAACCTGTCACTCACATGAGATCACATAAAACAATTCCCAATGAACAAAATCAAGCCCACCCTACGTTTTTTTTCTTGTTTAAGAAGCCGTTTCACTCAAATATTCGTCACAATAGGAAAGATTACCACAACTTTTGTTTCATGCCGAAATGTGTAATGGAAATTTCTTTATGAATCCATTTCTTCTGTATACACTGTAACTAGCCTTGACAGTGGAGTACCAGAAAGATTTGTGTAAACGCTGATATTCCTTTAAAAGGGCCGAAAGGAGCTATTTAATCATTTATACATGTAGGCTTCAAAGTATGCTTCTTGCTGTCACGTGCCTTTACATCAGGAGCTTTTTTATTTACTGAAGAAACAGACGACAACCCTCATTTAAAACCCCAGGTCTTTATTTGCAATCTCAGATTTGTATTGATCTTTAATTTTAAAAGCCTTGTAAGTATTGTACACTTTTAGAAGAAAAGGTTCTGTATAGAAACTTGAGGGGTTCCCATCGTAGGATAATATTCTGGATTATGTTTTAATTAATTAATTTAGTTAAATTTGTCATGTATTAATTAAACAGCTCATAAACATGTTTTATCACTAGAAAAAAAATGAAATAACCTGTTTCACATGAAAATATTATGCAATCTTTAAAAAATGTTTTCCTTATTTAGAACCTTTTGGCAGAGTTCTTTTAAAATGCAGCCAAGAAGCCCTGTTGAACCGTTTTTTTTTTCTAAGTACACTTGTGTTGAGCGAAACCCTTGAGCTTTCTGAATCTAATAAACATGGATTAGATGTCTGCATCTATGGAAGTCTCTACTATGTGAGATGTGCGAAGAATAGATTAATGCATTCTCTAAATTTAGACTGAGATCACACATCTTTATATTTCCCACCGGCATACTTGTGTGTGTGCATCCCAAATGTGTGCTTTGAATGTGCATTGGTATATATTTGACCAGCCATGCCTGTCTACACACACTGATAAACATGTGATTTTTTACTATATTTATTTACTTGATGCAAATGCAACTGGATCTGAACTCAATGGTTCAGATTTTGTTTTATTGTAGAGATGTTTACAGACATATCTGTAAAATTATAGCAAACTCTCCAGTATATAGGGCTGTTATCTCGTGTAGATGAGCAGAACTGTTCAATTGCAATTATCGGGTTGAAGGTATTTTTATTAAAATGTTTATTTAAAACGTGTAAAAGCGTTTAAATACTTTCTCCTTTTCCAGTTTAATGTGCCGAAACAACTCTGTAATTGTAAGCAATCCATAGGTTGACTTCCAAAGAGAGTGTAAACACTGTGTCTCTGTGCCGCTTTCAAAACATTGACACCATTTTATCTCATCCAATGACGTCGTTTTTGTCTCTGTTTTCTGTACAATTATATGCAAAGACCGCTACCAAAGACTATTATTTATTACTGCCATGCTATTATATTATTCTCTACCTAAAACCCTGGACTTTTCTATCGAACCATAATAATATTTTATGTAATTGCTATTTGCACTTCTGGTTAGATGCTAACTGCATTTCATTGTCTCTGTACTAGTACTCTGCAAAATGACAGTTGTGTCTAATCTAATCTAATAATTGTTTTCCATGCAGGTTTATCATTATGGTATAAAAACACTGTGATACCATAAAACCCTGCCCCAAATGGCAAACATAAACAAACTATGGTTGATGTTCTTAACATTTAAATTAAGTATGGTTCTCACTGCAGCTTATTGACAAGTCAAATACACCAATTACTAAAGGGGAAAAAGAGTAATTTTGCATTTTTATATTCAAGCCAAACCTGTCCAGCCTTGCCTACAGCAATCACAAGAGTCGATTTGTGTGTTTGTAATGACGTCACTGTGCCATTACAGTAATTACACTAATAGTTCAGGGGGAAAAAAACATAATTATAAAATAGGCCATCCATCTAAAAGGCTTGTGTTCTTTATTTGGACATCTGGCTTTGAAGCACATTATAATGTGTCTTGTTTCTTACAAATCCAGTCATTTGTAAGGGATTATGTAGGACTTCAGACTGCAACCAAATGTTTTTCTACCGGTGCAACTAGCCTAAATTTTGTTAGAGGTTGCACCGATGCCACCACCACGTTGCCCACCTTATAAGAGCTGCTATTTCTGTTGCATATGAGAAACGAAAGCGGATCAAAACTGCGCTACTCGTTTCGTTTGAGACTGTTTATCAGCTCAGAGCCTCGGAACAATAATAAACAGTGCAGCGCAAAGCTCAAAAACGGTTTTCTCGCGGTCTGATCTCGACCAAGCGACAGCGTTATTACACAGCGCTGGGAGATCCAGTGAGAAAGTGTTTGAATTTGGGGCAGAATTCTCTGTCATAAACCATAGATGTCAGATAAACCAGCGCCGACGTGGAAACCAGGAGAAACATTGTGCCATGAACGAACAAGTTGTAGAAGGCTTTTCATTCCACAAATCACCAACATTCACCTTGGATTTCATGTAACGCTAACTGTAACAATGGTATTGTGGCAGATATAGTCGATTGTTTTTACATGATTCATTTCAGGGTTCGTACAACCTTTTGAGAGTGAAATTCAAGTACTTAAAGAACTTTCAGATGCTTCACTCTTTTTCCAGCACTTCAAAGCTCTAAATATTATCCAGTTTAAATGTTATTTTTGATGTGATGACCATAAACATTATTTGTTCATCCTTCAAAGATTGTCTCCCTTGGATTTATTTTTAGACATTATGAAATCACTGTTATAAAATATCAAATCGTCAAGAAATTTTTTTTTTGTTGAAGTGTGGCAATTTTTTTTATACTGATTAAGTAGGAAAAGTCACAGTGTCATAAAAAACAAACTTTTCTTTAAGAGCAAGTGAAGTTTTAATCACTGAAGATGCAGTGTGATGCTATAAAAGAACAATGGTGCATTTAATAAAAGTAGAATATTAAAAAAATTTCCTATAAAAATTTAGTTTTTTTTGTAGATAAAGTTTTTAATAAAAGATAATGTTATCTGCATCTGAACTCAAGCTCAGTGCTTTACTGTCAAATGTGCATTTCCAAAAAACAAACATATAGCTTTATATTATTAGCACTTATTAATGCATAACAATAGTAATTTTGTTCTAACTAACAATAGTAGATTCAATTACCGTTGATTAAAAATCACTGCTCTCAAATGTTAGTCTAGAGCCCTGCTATGCTAGTTGATTTACCATGAATGAAGAGCTACTGTGCTCATTTTCTCTTCTATTTCTTTCAGTAGATGAAGGCATGAAGAAAACATCTTAGTCAGGAAGTCATGGCTGATAAAAGAAAACTTCAAGGTAATGAGAACGGGCTTTTCTTGGCCATATATGTTTAATGGTCTTCTTGGAAGATATCTTTATGCAGCTTCGTTTGAGGAGGATGCTACATGAATAGCTTACATTATTTAGCATACTTCTGCTGCATCAACCCCATGTTTGCATGTGTGTCTCTGAGAGTGTGGCCTGGTCTCAACCCAACCCATCATGTACTGAAGGTTTGCTCCTCTCTCTTCAGGCGAAATAGACAGATGTTTGAAAAAAGTTGCAGAAGGGGTAGAGCAGTTTGAGGACATTTGGAAAAAGGTAAGAAACGACTACAGCACTTTTTGTAAAGCTCATTAAATCATGTTAATTATATTTTAGATGCATTCTCAGTGATTTTTGCTGTTTTAAGAGTAATATTTTACAACAGATCCAAATTGGGTAGTGCACTTAGATGGGGGTGATTAATGCATAAATACACTACCATTGAAAAGTAAATAATAAAGAAATTACTACTTTTTTTCTGCAAGAACACTAAATTGACTAAAAGTGGCAGCAAAGACATTTATAATGTTACATAATATATTTCTGTTTCAAATAAACGCTGTTCTTTGCAACTTTCTATTCATCAAGGAATCCTGAAAAAAAGCATCACAACTGTTTTCAACATTGACAATAATTATAAATGTTTCTTGAGCATTAAATCAACATGTTAGAATGGTTTCTGAAGGACCATGTGACACTGAAGACTGGAGTAATGATGCTGAAAATTCAACCTTGCTCAGCATTTATATTAAACCACAATGAACAAACTCAATCTCCCACAATGAACAAATGCAGTAATCAATGATATATTAGACATTTCAGAATACGCACCGAAAATTGTTCTGCTCATGCTTCTTGAGTGAGGCCCAATGTATAGAATATGCAATGCATTGAGTTTTAAACATATTATTGAAATTTACAATCACCTTCTTATGATTCAAGCCAAGTAGAATCCTTTAAAATTAACTCATAAATAATTTATATATTTGTGATTTATTTCCCCCCTTTCAGCTCCACAATGCAGCCAACGCAAACCAAAAAGAAAAATATGAGTCTGACCTCAAAAAAGAGATTAAAAAATTACAGGTGAGAATATTTAGTTGATATCAAAACTGCACTTTTTGGCCATCGGTGAATCAAATGAATTATTAAAAGATTGAACTGCTTTTCATTTCATTTGTAATACACTGGCTTGTGTCACTGCTCATGGTGTGTTTGTCTTTATTGGTAACCATGAGGACAAGCGCTACCCATGCCGAGGGTCATGTATGCGCGTGTCCTCTGTGCTTGGCGGCACAGGAGTCGGCATGCTTGATTTCAGGTGTCCAGCTCAATTTTCTTTCTTTCTTTCTTTCTGCATGCTCTTTCTGTTTCTGTCTGCATTGGTTCTGCAGCGCCTTCGTGACCAGATTAAGACATGGGTCGCCTCCAATGAGATCAAAGACAAAAGACAGCTAGTAGAGAATCGCAAACTCATTGAGACGGTGAGTCTGTTTAAATCTAACAAAAAGACTAGGTACTAATGAATAATGCCAGATTTAATATGTTTGAACAACTTACATTTTTTTTTTTTTTATTGGATGAAGTACATTAGCAATGTTTTCAGTGAACTGAGACCTTTTTTAAAAAAAAATGAATAATCAATTATTTATTATTTAATGTAATGTAGATACTAAATCCACATAAGACCAATAAATCCAAATTCTGAAACATAATACGGAGAAAAGTGCTCAGCTTTGGCACATGGTAAAACAAAATGTGGTACTTAGTTTTGCCTGATTTATGATTTTTTGTTTTTAACAGCAAATGGAGCGGTTTAAAATTGTGGAACGGGAAACCAAAACGAAAGCATACTCTAAAGAGGGACTCGGCCTTGCTCTGAAAGTCGATCCTGCGCAGAAAGAGAAAGAAGAGATCGGGCAGTGGCTAACGGTAAGAATGGCAGTGTGAGTTAGGGGTGTAACAATACATCGATATGGATCGATGCATCGATCAAACGTCTAACGATACGATGCATCAATGCCACACGTAAAATATCAATATGAGAAATATCAATTTATTTTGACACTCCTTACGCAACGTCCGTCTACGCATTTCCACCAAAGCATGCATTTTCGTTTACTCACAATACTGTCTGTCTGTGTGTCAGATTGCGAATGCATTGCAGCAACAAAGCGTTGTAGCAGGCGCAGAAAACTTTGTGCTGTCGGACGCAAATCGTGGGTTAGAAAACATTTTGTATTTGCAAAAACAGATGGGCAGGCAAAGAAAACAGCTTTATTTTTGTATTTTTTATATTCATTTATTTTTTACTTATATATTTAACTAAAGTACCTCAGTGATTTGCACAATTTTGCACATAAGACTGGAAGACGTTATTGACTGTTGCCATCATAAGCTTGATTGATTTTATATGATTGCCCCCCCCCCATTATTTATTTTTATTTATTTATAAAAACCAATGTGTAATTTTGTTGTTGTTGTAAATGTCCCTATTGGGAGAGGGTGTGCAATTTCCAAAGAGTTTAATTAAACATTCGTGTTATATATTTTGGTTGCATTTGTGAGTTAATAAAAATGTAAGTGGTTGTGTAAACTTGGCACATATTATCTAAATATCGACAGATCAATCGATTCGTAATCGTATCACAGAATTCTTTGAGGTATCGGCAAATATCGTATCGCTGGCTGAGAGAATCAATATCGCATCATGATGTCATCAACTGTCAACTGTCCGATTTACACCCCTAGTGTGAAGCACTTAAGTTAGTCACTGCGAATTGTTTGCACCCATTTGACTCCTGTAATGTGGAAAAGTAGGACTGACCTAGATTAGTTTTTTTTTTTTTTTTTTTTTTTACTAACATGCACCAATAAATAATTCACAATAAGACGAGAAATGTGCATCAAGATTCGTTTTGATTTCATGTTGACTTGACACATATTCCTGTCATTCTGAAAAGCATTTGTGTCTTGACACAATATGATAAAACATTAGGATTATTTTAGATGCCAAACGCCTTGTTTTTAATGTGGATGATAGTAGGCGGCTGCTGTCAGGGGAGGAGTGAAAAAAGAGCAGCTGGACTCCCACTTCTTGTAGTGGTCCAGCAATCTACTGTATGTATGCAAAGGCAAATATTGTGATCGCATTCTTGGTTGCCACAGTGAAGTGGATGTGTTTGATATTGCTTTTACATGAAGATTGATATGATGAACAAGTAATTATCGGTTAATGGTATCAGTGTAACTATTATTCAATTCTACTACAAGTAATCCACTGTATCTATTAGTGATGGACCGATAAGAAATGTTGGCCGATACCATTAACCGATAATTCTTTATATTTGAAAGCCAATAACCGATATATTTGCAGATAAACCTAAATCTAAATTTTTATATAATTTGAGAGCCTGATTACAAAAAAACAAAAGTCTCACCATTAAAAGCCATGTCCCAAGCACACAATTCTAATGTTCTCAATATAATTTTATGTACCCTATATATGACAGACTTGCACATGTTGCGCTGTCCTTTTTTGAAGTGATTCCAATCATATTTCAAGCAATTCAAAACCACCATGGTGAATGTTGCGCATCTGAAGTGTCTCAACTGAAGGAAATAATAATTCATTATTTATCAGATTTTATATATTGGCCACATTTTTTTTTATCAGACAGATAAAAAATTGACATATATCGGCCGGTATCAATATGATGGCCGATATGTCGTGCATCCCTAGTATCTATTATTAAATTCTACTTTTCCATCCATTTTTAGTTTAATAAGACATGAGTTCAGCATTATGTTAAAGTTCTGAACTGTGACCTAAGTTAAAGTGAGGTTACATTAGCGAGATTTCACGAAATGTCCATTGTCAATATTGTAGCTATGTATGAAGCACAGCTCATACTGAAGTCAAACCAAGCAGTCTGCAAGCAATCTGTGTGGGTAAATCTTTCACACTTGCGTGAAATCCCTGATTGGGTGGATTTCTATTGAAATTACTCGTCAAACAGCGTCAAATGTGACCAAGTCATTTCCATCATTCTTTTTGTGTGCACAGTCTTTGGAAAGCCGCTGTAACGCCTGGTTCTGAAAGCTGCGTCCATCTCACTGTCGTGAGCGTATTTTGGCAAACAATAGCATGAAGTTACAGAGAGCTTTTCAACTCACTATTCTGCAAAAAACATGCACATCTCAACTGTTGCTGTGTTTGCATAATTTACTTATGTCATCTACTTCTGCTGTGTACCTTGGTTCCCCTAGAACACGATAGACACGTTGAACATGCAAGTGGACCAGTTTGAGAGTGAGGTTGAATCGCTTTCTGTCCTGACCAAGAAAAAGAAAGGAGACAAAGAGGTCAGTTAAATTTCCTCCTGCTTTCTTTATTCCCATGCTTTTCGTCTTTTACAATGCAACTGTTTGATCTGGGATTGTTTAGCGTTTAGCCTAATGATAAAGGTTTTTGATTCAAACTCAGCAATGGGTGAACCATGAATGATGACACTTATTGGGTGATTGTCCTTTCTGTAATTCACTTTGGATAAGTGTTCGCTAAATGACAAATTAATTAGTGATTATTGATGCCAAAGATATTTATTGTGTACTTCACCGCTCAAATTTCAATTATTTATTTATTTTTAATGAAAAAATGAATAATGCAAAAAAATATTGACTGTATCAAATGGTAATACTCTGGTAATATTCCAGCAGTTTCACTCGTTCTGTTAAAGTGACTGCTCATTTACATCGTAAATTCTATATTTTTTCCATGCTGTGACCTAAGAAGCAGGATCGGATCGAGGAACTGAAACGATTGATCGAGAGGCACCGGTATCACATCCTCATGCTGGAAACCATCCTTCGAATGCTGGACAATGACTCGATAGATGTGGATTCCATCCGCAAGATTAAAGATGACGTTGAGTACTACCTTGATTCCTCTCAGGATCCAGACTTTGAGGAGAATGAGTTCATCTATGATGACCTTGATTTAGAGGAACTTCGTAAGTGTTTGGTGCACATGCCAGGATTCTGTTGTGTTTTTTTATGCTTAATTGTAACACTTTTTTTTTTTCTCTCTTCATTTTTCCTTCCTGTAGCCCAGCCACTAGGTACCACATCTCCAGCTGGTAACGCAGAGGACGAGATCTTCCAGCACTCCAGTTCCACACCAACCTCCACAACGTCATCTTCTCCCATACCTCCCTCTCCGGCTACTTGCACTACGGTGAGCATCAGATCTAAAGTTTAATCAGAGCTTGGGATGGACAATACATCAGTTCCATACTGGTTATTGGCCAATAATAGAGGTTTTTGTTTAATGTTTTTGGTATTGGCATGGCATTATGTTATTGATATTGGATATTTAATTGTGCATGCTCGTTTCTACAGATTTTTACATTTAGATTACCTTTGTTGACATCTAAAATTCACAAAAATATTTTTTAACACTGTGAAATGTAATTTTTAGCAAATATAAAAATAAATGTTATTATGAATTTTTCATAATGAACATCATAATGTTGTGATGCCTAAATTCACTTGTAGCATTTAAAACATATTAATTTTAAAATAAAAATAATTAATAATTAATTGTAATAATAAAATGTATTCATTTTAATTCAAGTGTGTTTTATTTATTAATCAGTTATACGTCAGTAAATCTTTAAAAACACCAAAAATGAATTTTTAAAGACTGTTAAATGTCATTTTTAGGAAATTTAAGAATGAATTTAACTTAATTTAAAAAAAAAAGAAAACAAATAAAAATAATTAATTTTGAAACGAAATGATTAATTATAACAAGATAAATGTATTAATTTTATTTCTAATTAATTGTATTGTTTTATTTATTTATCGGTTATATATAATAATTATCGAGTTATCAGTATCAGCCTGAATTTTAATATTGGTGCATCCCTTGTCAGAGCAGCATATGACTTCTCAAACCTGCTTACCTGCAGACATATTTATCCATTAGAGGTTTATGCAAGTTATCATAAAAATGTATTTGAATCTCATCATATTTCCCAAAAAAATGGCACATTCGATATATAGGACCCTGATTTGTTCATGGACAGATATTTTTCTTAACTTCTAAAACACTAAAAATTATTTTCTCTGTGAATGCCATGGATGTGGATGGATATGGAATGTAGTAAAAAGCAATTCAGTCATTTGTTTTGGGTTTGTTTTTGTACCACGTCATGTTCTCTTCATTTGTGCTGATAAGAATTCGGAAGATGATAAGAAAAGAGGTCGCTCGACAGACAGTGATATTAGTCAGGTGAGAAAAGATACCTAAAATCCCTGTACTAAAAGTCTTATGGTCCTTTCCAGTTTTGGCCTGACACTGAAAATCCTGTCAATTTGTTGCAGTCACCTATCAAGAACGGAAATCCATCTTCATCTCTATCCTCCTCTTCCTCACTGTCATCCTCATCCTCGGGAGCCTCTTCAAGCTCCTTGATGTCATTGGCGAATGTCAGCGGAAGCTTGGCATTAGGGGGCAGCAGCCTCTTAGGCAACATGGGCGGCCCCCTTCAGAACTCTGGCAGCTATAGTTCAGCAATGCAGCAATCCCAACAACAGCAGCACCAGCCCAAAAACTCAGTCTCCTCCCACTCAGGCACCAACTCTGCCTCCTCCAACAACAGTATCCTACTCCCAACATCCATGTCCACGTCGCCACCCAACACCTGCACACAGGGTCCCCTGACTCCCAGCTCACAGAGCCAGCCTCCTTTGGGGACAGGTCTTTCCTCCAGTCTGGGCCTCGGGAAGGGCATGTCGGTGACGAGTAGCGCGACCCAGTTGCCCGTTCTAGTCCTTTCAGGGATGCCGGCGTCCTTGAGCAGCATGGCTGGGATTTTGAGCGGATCCACCCCAGCACCATACGCGCAAGCGGCCGCCGCAAGTTGCATAGGCAGCGGGCTGTCAGCATCGATTGGAACGAATATTAGCAGTACAAACTCCAGTGGAGTCGTAACCTCAGTGGGGACTAATGGAAGTCTTGGCTCCACAAGCCTCTTGGGCTCAGGGCCTGGAGTTTTGGGTCTTGGGTCCACACAGTCTGCTGTGGAGCCTTTACCTCTGCTAGCTCCCAGCCCTGTGGGAGGCGCACTGATCTCAGGGAGCAACGTGGGAGTTATCGGTGGCAGCGTGGGAGTTATCGGTGGCAACGCGGGAGTTATCGGTGGCAGCGTGGGAGTTATCGGTGGCAATGTGGGAGTTATTGGTGGCAACGTGGGAGTTATCGGTGGCAATGTAGGGTCATCTGGGACAGGAAATGCAGCGGGAAGTGCGGCGCTACCACGGCCACCCAGTGGGCCGAAACAAAATGGGGGTACAAGTGAGTGCAGAATAACTGTCATATGTTCTGAAACATTATTGCATTATAAGAAGAAACTAAATAATTTATAATAAATAAATAATTTTGTTCACATTTGTACTTGAATATCCCCCCATCTTCCAGGTTATAGTGCTGTGGTAGCAGATAGCACGTCAGACTCTGCCCTCAACAGTGCCAGCCAATCACAGACCAGCCAATCCTCATCCTTAAATTCCTCAACAAATCAGCCGTGAGTACAAGCGCGCTTACAACACTTTAGAACCCCACTTCCCTGTTAAGAAGCAATACCCCGGCAACCACCTACAACACCCTTTTTGTGAGGTTGATATTCGATTAACAGACAACAAAGACAAGTAATATTCAGTCATATTAAACATTTAACTGCACTACCACTATCGGATGAGAACAAAATTTGAACTGATTTGAGCTGAATAATGTCTTCTGTAGAGCTGCTTTACAGTTGAAATTGAATTTGTTTCATAATTGATGGATTTTACAACATTAACACTGTTATTTTCCTGTTTATTAACGTAAAGCGGCTTTGAAATAATCTGTATAAAGCGCTATATTATATAAAAGAGTTCTGTGCAAGGGCAAACGCCACTTTTCAGATAATGTACAAATCTAGAGGTGAATAACATGGAAAACCTGTATTAAAATTAATATCACTACTTTCCTGGAAAACATTTTTTTGAATTACATATCTATGTTATTCATAATTAAAACCATTTCCTATATGCTCTTCTCCCTCCTCTCAAAACAGTAAGGACAGTGGGTCCAGCCTTCTGGGGTCGATGACACTGCCGCCCAGCTCGCCCTCACCATCGTACAGCGAGAGTAAACCAAGCGGTGGCAGCCTGCTGAATGGCCCTCTCTCATACACACAGGCTGCCGACACCATCAAGGTCAGTCACACAACATTTGCACATTCTCAGCAACAATGTGTGTTTGATGTGTGGGTCTGAAGGTGAAGTCTACATTGCTGTTGCCAGATAGTGCTCTGCAAAGATTAGATGAGGAAACAGGCAGAGAAATTACTCTTTAGTTATTGCTCACCACCTGAATGCAACAAGAAGTTTAGATAAAATAAAAGGTGTTGTTGAGAGCCTGGGTTCTTAGATGTGAAGACACGTATGCTACCGTTCAGAAGTTTTTTGAAGGAAACATACTTTTATTCTGCAAGAATGCATTAAATTGATCTAAAATGATAGTAAAGACATTTATAATGCTACACAAGAGAGGAAATGAGAGGAAATATCGGCCAATGAGAGGAATGTGTCACAACACACAGTGCATCACACTTACAGACCACTCAGAGTGCCTATGATAACCGCTTTCCATCGGCGAAAGCGCCTACAATGGGCATGTGACCCTTGACCCAAACTGGACCCTTGAGCAGGGAAAGAAGGTCGCCTGGTCCAATGAGTTTCGTATTCTTTTACATCACATGGACGGTCGCGTGTGCACCATTTACCTAAGGAAGTGATGGCACTGGGAAGCACAGTGAGATGGCGAAAAGCCGGTGGAGGGAGTGTGATGTTCTGAGCAATGTTCTTCTGGGAAACCCTGGGTCCAGCCATTTATGTGGATGTATAATTTCATGTATATCTATATTCTGTTTATATTACATAATAAATGTCAAATTAGAATTTGACATTTATTATTTATGTATTTTGTCTCTTTTGTCACCATTAAGTTTCTATGCATAACTGTTTCTTGGTTTTCAGTGGAATTGTTTATCATCCCTAATTGTTTTGAGCACATGCTAGATCACTAGATTCCACTTTTATTGACCGTTTTGACCAATGCATTTCCCCCTCTGCATTCACTCTCTTCAGCCTCAGGAGCCTCTGAGTTCTCAAAAGTCGATGGTAGAGAGGGTTGCCCAGAGCTCAGGGTTAGAAGGAGAGCTGTCTGCGCTGCATATCTCTAGTGGTAAGTATCAACAAGTACTCAACACTATAAGGTTATCTTGCCCCGTTCTCTATGTTGTTGGTAACATTCTTTCTATCACCGTCTTCCAGCTTCTCAATCTGTTCTTTCGGAGGTGAGCATCGCCCCTTCATTGGGCGTGTGTCCACTGGGTCCTGTCCCCCTCTCCAAAGAGCAACTCTACCAGCAAGCCATGCAGGAGTCCGCCTGGACGCACATGCCTCACCCGTCCGACTCTGAGAGGATCAGGTGAGCGCACACCAACACACACACACACACACACACAAATACGATTTTTTAGGATTCACTGATTCTGACAGCTGACTACACGCATGCCTCAAAATCTAGGGAATTCCTGGAACCTTGTACTCCAATGTGACCATGTTTTGCATCAGTTTGTCATTTCTTTTTCTTGTATTCAATTCTAAAATATCGAATGCAACTTTATGATATTTTGGGGCATTGCCGAATGAAAAATATTTGGCCCTTTAAACAGCCATAGTGCTCATTTATGCACTAGACATCTCATAAAATCTGCTTTCATATAACTAACGCTGGATTTAATAAAAAAGATTATTTGTATTTCTACATGTCACCTTAAATAGTAACAAGTTTCATGAGATTATTTGTTTGAGCATCCTGATCAGCCTGATGCAGCCACATTGATTCATTCTATGATTTAATTATTTAAAAAGAGATTCATTTAATTTGACACATTATTTGATTGATTTACCTAAATGTTCCTATTGGTACACTTACTACTTTTATTTTTTATTTGTATTAAGTCTTATTTTGCGTATATGTATTTATTTTAAAAAATAGGTAGGTACATCAGTTACATTCAGTTTCATTAAATGAATGTATTTATTTATTGATTTAACTAAATGTAATAAATTAATTAAAAACATATTTTTTCAAGTACCTATTTTTTTTATCATTTAATTTAGAATTTTTAGGTTCTCCGTATTAAATCCACACAAAAATACTATCTCATCCTATCCCTTTTCAGTTGATCAGGGTTCTTTAACTTGCAAACTTGTTTCGATTGAATACTCACTTAATCATTTCCTCTTTTATTGGACACACAGGCAGTACCTGATGAGGAACCCCTGCCCTACACTGCCTTTTCACCACCAGATGCCACCTACCCACTCTGACACTGTGGAGTTCTACCAGAGACTGTCTACAGAGACCCTCTTCTTCATCTTTTACTACTTAGAGGTGTGTGTGTACATTTATAGTTAACACCTTCAGTGAAGCCCTAGTAATTGCAAACAGGTTGTTTTGTCTTTTATTAAGCACATACGACTTGCATTTGATTGAAAGAAAGAGGGACTATTGATCTCTGAGTGGGATTTCAGCATTACGGTCAGATTACAGTCCCTTTTTATTGGCATATTTCTGGTAAATGACAGATTGTTCCTTTCCACTCCCTAGGGTACAAAAGCGCAGTATCTAGCAGCCAAGGCCTTGAAAAAACAGTCATGGCGGTTCCATACAAAGTACATGATGTGGTTCCAGAGGCACGAGGAGCCCAAGACTATCACTGATGAGTTTGAGCAAGTGAGTCACACTATTAGGTTACAGGGGAAGATACATAAACATTCACAGAAATAGGCTTCTCGTTTTGAGCCAACACAACAGCTTTCAAGAAAAATGTAAGCAATTGTCCAATGTGAGAGAAACATGGTGCAAATAGGGTGTCCATATCCGATTGAATACGTCTGTAGAGGAATGTAATATACATGTTAAAAATTCCATTGGGATGAGCTCTTTCACAAGGTTATGCCATTTTTTTTAATTGAAGGAGTTTTCTCACTTATCCAAAACATCAAAAAGTTCTTTCTTGCAGCAAAAGTTAAAATACTAAATAGTCTTCTATGTTATTTATTCAAAATAATACCAGCCGGCAGAACTAGAATAAGTGAACATGGATCAACATCAATTATCATTCCCAGAATATTGCCAATGTGGTCTGCAATTTTCTTCCAAAACAACTGAATTTTGTGACAAGACCAAATACAGTGAATGTAATTATTTCTGGTTTATTAACAGTGTTGTCTTACACTACTGAATATAACCCAAAAAAGAATAATAACTGAATGATTTGTTATTTCTGTCTTTCTACAGGGAACATATATCTACTTTGACTACGAGAAATGGGGCCAGAGGAAAAAGGAAGGATTTACATTTGAGTACAGGTACCTTGAGGACCGGGACCTTCAGTGACGGATGGTCAACTAGAACGGAGGACTACTGTCGACATTCCGAATTGAATCAACACACACATGTACACTCTCTTTCATTCACTGGGGAGGAGACCCAGATGCACATGCGAGGCTGTTTTATGTCTCGCTGGTGCATAATGCATCTGAAGCCCCTCCCAAGCCCCGAGTTCTTTGTGACTCCGCCCTCTCATTCAATCAGACTTAACGCTGGTAAATCCCCCCGTTCTGAGAACTTTATGGAGCATTTTTGCGCCAAAAAAGAAGTTGAATGAACATTCACCCTATCAGCAAGATGACAATAAACTTAAATCATTGTGGATGAATTATTTAGCCATGGCTAATTTCGTAAAACACTGACGTTCTACTATATTGATAACCTAAATCCAAACTAATCCAAGTCCTCTGAGCTACAGCTGTTGTTCAGCAAATGATTAGTTTAAAGTAAACATCAGCAATTAAATTCTTATGCACAACCATTTCAATCTTGCATATATCTGTCCACCCAAGCCATAACAGCTGCTGTTTTCTCTTAGGAAGCTTGATTTTGGGGTAGTTACACCCCTGTCTTGTAAGCTCTGATTAAAGCACAGCTATTAATAAGCTTGCAAGTGTGTGTCCCAAACTCTAATATTGATATTCATAATCGTTCTATCACTGTGGAACCAAATAATGAGTCTCTTGCCAGCTCAAGCACACTATTTTTGTTTGTAGACAACAAACAGGAGGCCAAGTACACGCCACTCAGATCAGGTTTGTGACTCTCATAAATTTAAAAAAAAAAAGTTATTATGAGGGCTTTTTTGGACTCAGAAAGGGAATAATGAATATGTTCATTTACTAGGGTAAATGTACTTCTCCAGTTGAAATTCGCTGTGAATTTTTGAAAGCGACAGGCTTATGAGTTTCAGTAGACTTGCATGTCTTACCGATTTCACTAAAACGTCACCGTTTCATTTCACAATGACACTCATAAATATTCCAGCATTTTATGACATTTCTTTCCCCTTATTTGTTTGTGCTGTATAAATTAGCAACCACGGAATTAATTTAAAGAGAAAGAACATACTGTAGAGAGGATTGTGGTCAGACATTTTAAAATTTCTTTACAATTCAGCAAGAATCGGGCATTAAATACCCAACCTTATAAAACGCGTACGCACACAACCTTGTTTTAATCGTAACGTTTATCTTTCTCGATGAGCGTGTGGAAGAGAGCAGAAATGTGAATTATGAATATATATATTTTTTCCTAACTGGAAAAGTGTTGTACAGAACATTTGTTCTCCTTCTGTTGACCCCCAACCCCCCCACTCACACACACACACACACACACACAAAACATTTAAACAGCATGGAATATTACACTTGCAAAGTGGACTGGAGTAAAAAAAAAAAAGAGAAAATGAAACATTGCAATGAAAGTAAAGACTGTAAAATATAAATAAAATAATTACTTTACAAAAAGAGGACATCTGGGTTTTCATCATCACCGAGCATCTGTTTTGAAATTACATTGTTCTCATGAGACTGCTTCCAGTAACTGCCTTGTGAAGAAATTGATTATCGTTTTAATTTAGACCCATTTTAATACAGTTGTTTCCAGTCTTTAGATTTGATTAGCTGAGCGGTATTGTACAGTCCCAGCAGCACTAGGACTTTTCACTGTTTTTATCCCTCTGCTTGTCTTTTCTTCAGGGTGGAAGCCAAGTGAGGGACAGGGTTTTGAAAGTCAGAGCATCTGTGTTTGCTCTTGGTTCGTGATCGCTCACGGTTTCTTGCTGAAGCTGAGACACTTTAGAGCGCAGATGGGAAAACCTCTGCCACTCCACTCATACGCCGTTCTAGACTGGCTTTCGGTTTGTGCACTGGTTGATGCTCTTTGGCTCATAAAGAACGGCAAGTTGTTGGTTTAATGATTAATGAAATCATTTCTGATCATGCGTCTTAATTAACAAAAAGCTTGTAGTCAATGCTTTATTACTGAATGCATACTCTACTATTCATAAGTTTGGGGCCGGTAAGGTTTTTTTTTTTAAGGAAATTGATACTTTTATTAAACAAGGGTGCATTAAATTGATCAAAATTATCAGTGAAGTCATTGAATGTTTCAAATGCTGTTCTTTTGAACTTTCTAATCATCAAAGAATCCTGAAAAAAATGTATCAGTTTCCTCTGAAATATTTTCGCTATTTAAAAGTTGTGCTACTTAATATTTTTCAGTATTACTGTTTTTATGGTAGCACTTTATTTTACAGTCCTGTTCCCCATGTACATACGATGTGCTTATTATAGTTATTACAATAACTGGGTAATAACTAGGTACTACTAACCCTAAACCTAAATCTAACCTTAACCCATGTAGTTACCTTATTACCAGTACTTTCGTAACGCTTCCTTTAGCAGTACAGTACTTACGTGTACTTACAGTGTACTTACCTAGAAAGTACTGGCTAATATAAGGTAAGTACATGGGTTAGGGGTAGGTTCAGGGTTAGTACCTAGTTATTACCCAGTAATTATAATTACTATAATAAGTACATAGTAAGTACATGGGTAACAGGACTGTAAAAGGAAGCGTTACCTACTTTCTTAGGTAAGTGCACATACTGCAAAATAAAGTGTAACCATTTTTACTGTATTTTTCATCAAATAAATACAGCCCCGGTGAGCATAAGAGACATCTTTCAAAAACATAAAAAAAAAAAAAACCTTACTGCAAACTTTTGAACAACAGTGTGCACTATTAATAAAGTAATACACTTTAGGATGTACAGTGGCGCCCCAAAATATGCGGAGACTAAATGAATGTCACTGCATTACAAACAATCTTAAATAAGAGCTAACTTCACTTTTCTGAGCTATATTTGCTATCTTTTTATCCAAAGTGATTTTTCGTGGATGTATGAACTATGAAGTGAACATAATCCAGTCCAATGCACTCCTCATTTTAATTTTGAACAGTAAATATGATGTTTTATTTAAGACCGAACTAACGGTTTGTGAAATGCTTTACTTAAAATGTTTCCTGTCTGTCTTTGAAATAAATCTATTGTTTTCAGTTTAGGGTCCAATTCTCACTATTAACTACAACTTTCGCCTCAATAAACTCCTAGGCCCTGTTCACACCTGGTATCAAGATCCGTTTTGGTTGATCTGATCACAAGTGGACGATGCTAAATACAGGTGTAAACGGAGTCTAAAACGTTTTGAGCTTGTCCACTTTCAACCACTTCCAGAGGTAGTCGAAAACGCATTCGACCGGATTGCTTTCGTAGGCGCTCATGTGGTCAAATGCGTTTGAACAGCCACAAAATGTGGTCGAATGCGTTTGAACCCCACTCTCCGCCTACTGTGTAAACATTTTGGGAAGCACGATAGCCAGATGGGATTTAAACTTTATCGTCTGAAGACCCAAGTTTGGTCTGAAGTCGTGTAAACAGGAATGTGTCTTCCTCGTCTGCTTGTGATTTGATCGACCAAAACGCATCTTAATACCAGGTGTGAACAGGGCCCTAGTTACTGCTTATTAATATTTAGTAAGGTAGTTGTTAAGTTTAGGTATTGGGTAGTATTAAGGGATGAAGAATATGCTCAAGTAGAATAAGGCATTAATATGTGCTTTACAATTACTAATAAACAGCCAATATCCTAGCAAGCATGCTAATAAGCAACTAGTTAATAGTGAGAATTGGACCCTAAACTGAAGTGTGACTAGTTTGTTATATAAAGCAATTTGTGCCTTAGAAGTCGAAGCGCTTTTGTGTGCCAGTGTGCGTGGATATTATTCATTGTGTAAAAGACATATTGCCATCAAATTGACCGAACCTCCAAACTCTTTATGCTCTGGTGTTTAACCACTCTAACAAAACGCCATCCTTGAACTTGTCCCACACCTGGACCTGTTTTTCACATTTTTCCTCTCTTCACGCATGTGTGAGCGTGTGATTCCGTGTTTTTGTGTGATTATTTTTGTGTGCGGCTCTGTGACTCATTTGGTTTGGGCCAGCGGCTGCAGGACCGTTTGAGTCATCTGGCTGTGTGTGAGAGCACGTACCGGTGTGCGAAGCTACGAGCACTTCTGGCAGGTTCACTACCATGAAGCTCCCACAGTGACAAGACTGACCCAACCATTGCCTCCAGCAACACAGGGAGTCATTGTCATATCCCAAATACAAACATTCACTCTCACGTCACTGCAGATCGCAATGCTCCCACCCCAATGTCCTAAAGTGTGCTGCCTTCAGACTGCGGTATGATACTTAAGAGCAACGCTGTCTCCTCCAGAATGCCTCCTGAAACCATCATGCCTTTTCCACAATGTTGATAACCAATGCCAGCTTTCCAAGACCTCACATGTATGCAACAGACTCTGCTACTGTTATGCTAGTGTGAGAGAGGTAACACATTCACTTTAGGCCAAGTGACAAAAAGGAACTCATTCTGATTCAATCACAATCAACATTCAAGTAACTGAATCACTCAGGAGTAAAAATTCTTCAGTAATATAGATCAAATATATATTAAAGCAGGGATGGGGAACGTCCGACCCTAATCAAACACACCTGAACAAGCTAATCAATGTCTTCAGGGTCACTAAGGATGCAGGCAGGTGAGGTTTTGATTAAAAATTTTCAGGGTTGGAGCTAGAGTCTGCAGGACAGTGGCCCTCCAGGACCGACGTTCCCCAACCCTGTATTAAAGAGAGAAAGTGAAAATATTAAAAAAAAAAAATCTTCACTATTTTAATCACCTTTTGCTGTTTTGCAGTCTTTAGTCATGTGTGGTGTGACCGGATTTCTTAAAGTACAAATATTCAGTTTATGCATTTTTATTCTCTTATTTTTGTCCGAAGAATAATTTGATAGTTTACTGAATAATTGTATTATTGTAGAATGTTTTATTATATAATTATTATGCATTATTGTCTTTTTAATAATAATTAAAAAGTCATATTTCAACCCTAAATAAAATATACAGTTTGTGATATAATGTAATTATTTTTCTGAGACACTTACCCCCGATTATCATGTTGTTGTTTTTTTAATCCCCATTCTTCCCAATAGTTATTCTCATATGATGTTGATGTAATGGAGTCATTTTTACCATTTCTCAATTAGTGTAAATTACAGTAAAATTTCCATAGTATTATTAGTATTATAGTATTATTAAATTGCCTTAATTCAATGATTTATGACATACTAGAATTTATTTAGTTTTTTCGTTTAAAGCGATTGTTAGCATTACAGAACAGGAAAAATGTAAATACATGAAACTATTGTCATCATAATACCAATATAAATGGTCCTTGAATAAAAGCAAAATATCTACTATAATTTCTTTTAATTTTGGACTCAAAATGGACCCGGACATTTTCTTGATTTCTTGGGATTCACCTTATATATAAAAAAAAGGAGAAATCAATCAAGAATCATTATTGCCATGGGATGCTGCGGTTACCACGGAAACCAATGGCACAACCCTTTTTTTTAATACATTTCTGTCGCGCAAATGGAAGAGCTAAACTCTATAGTTTAACTATGTCATTCTGTTCCTCGTTTCTCGGAAAGAAATAAGTTCAAATCCAGCCCGTTTTAAGAATTTTCATCAATTATCGCGCGCTAGAATCTCATGAGCGCGTGCCAGTCTGCGAACGAGCGTCAGTTGATTTTCCCTAAAAACCCAGCACGCGCAGAAAAGACATTCTCAGCCAATAACGCGTGCCAACGATTGGCAGATCATTTCCAACATTTAGCAAATGAAACCACGTG